TCAGTTTTCAATGGATCATGAGGCATGAAAGATGGTGAAAGTAAAATCTCTCATCCTTTTGGGGAGCCATCATCAGAGGGAGCAGGAAGCTTGCATTCCTGTGCATTACCTTGGGGGCCCCAGAATGTCAGTCTTCATCATCTGTTTCTATGACCAGTGAGGTGGTGGCGGTGTTCTATGCCAAGCCGGGGAGTGGTGCTTTCTGGTGTGCGGTGGGTGATCATTGTAAGGAAGGAAGCTAGAGCATCAGAGGGTGCCCTGCAAGCAGGCATGACTCAGAGGTGGCCCTGCAGGCTGCCATCCAGGTGGAGCTAGGAGTTCCTGGCTGCCTGCGCAGCAGAGATTTAGGGCTCCCTCAGCTCCTTCCTTTGAACCATTACAGTCCCCTCTGGACATTGTGGATTGGGGCTGGAGGATGTCACTGAGTGCATGCAGCCTGTCCCCATGGAAGAGGGGCATGTCATGTGTCTCACCTCCCCTCACTCATCCTCACAGCCAGCCAGTAGATGGGGTTAGGAAGATATTACTTCCTTCTCAAGGTGGCCAAGGGTCAGATCCGGGTCACATGGCTTCCTTTTGGTATGATATGTGACTTCATTCTTTTTATTTAACCTGCATTTGAGTAGATAATTCCTGCATATCACATCTGTTTAGTTAGAAAACCAAACACTACGTTTTCTCTACTTCTGTCCTCAACACAGACCACATCTGTGATGTGGGGTTTCCTCCACCCACAACGACTTCAATAGCCCTTACAATTCAGATCAATCTTGACATTAACCAACAGGCTCAGAGCCGTAAGACTCCCCATCCATCACTCTAGATGCTACTCGTGAAGAACAGGTGCCAGGTTACCCACTTGGCAGCAAACCACAGCTTCCATGATCTGTTCTCGGGTTCGGTGATTTGCTAGACCAGTCCGCAGACATAAGGAGTGGTTCATCTCCTAGATTACCTTTCACACAGCGAGGAGGAGATGCACTAGCCGGCCTCGGAGGCTCCATGCCACCTCAACGAGCCACCCTCTGTGTGTCCTGCAGCCTGAAAGCTCCCTAGACCCAGAACCTTTGGATGTTCTGCTGTGACGCCAGCATCCTGACAGGTGCTCCCTTATGGTTGATACCCACAATGCTTTGCGGCAGGCATAGCCCTTCCCGCTATTTCACAAGCAAGAGAAACAGGTTTGGAGAGCTTGGGAACTTGCCCATGGTCACTCACACGGGCTCTGGCAGCAGAGTGTGGATTCACTCCCAAGGGTGGTGGCTCTAGGGCTTTACTTCCTGCTCTGGTGCCCTGCCAGGCATGAGGACTGTACAGAGGTAAACTGTTTCCACCTGGGACCCCTTTAATCCTGTTCAGGAATTCGTGCAGTATCCCTGTCTCATCAAGGGGGGGAGGGGGAGAGGGCTATAGGTCTTCCCAAGGCCCAGGCCGCATGCTTACCTACATCTCTCGCAGCTGCTTCTACCTCATGGAGCCAAGCTCCAAAATCTGGGAAAGGACTCTACTTTTGTTCCAGGCACTGAAGACAGAGTTCAGAGGCATCCCACATCCTGAAAAGTGATATAGCTCTGACTGTACAGGGATGTTTGGTTGAACAGGGATACCCTTGGATAGAAACACTGACCCCCCCTGCTGTACCAGAGGCCCAGGGCACTTGGAGCACCCATACACCAAGTGATACCTACAAACAAGGGTTTCAGATCAAATAAGGTCTTGAGAACTTTACAGCCTTTGCCTCCTCCCAGAGGTCTACCACCTGCTCTGTTTGGTCTCGTGTCAAGAGTCTACGTCTTTCAACCCATTGTTTCCCAAGCTTATGTGGCCAGAACCCTTTCCCAGAGGTTGGCTGTCCCTGATTCCTGTGAGTCTCTACCTAGGGCCTGGCTAAAGCCTGCTGTTCCCAGCTGCAGGCCATGGTCATTGGGTGTCTGTGTCCACCTAGCCCTGGGTTGACTTGAGGAGTAGTGAACTCAGCCATATTCCCCTCCACCCCAACAGGAGACAACTTCATGAGAATGAAAGGCAGCCAGGAACACAAGGGGCTCACAGCTACAAGCAGCATGTACTTTAGCATTTTGTTGTTTTCAGAAGGAGGAAAATAAATCTATACCTGTATGTGTAGATGGAATTTTCTGTCCCACGAGCCACTCCCTAAGTAACCACACAGAGACTTATTTAATGCGAGAAATCCACAGAGTCTGCTTAAAGGGTGAAGGAATTTATTGGGGGGAAAACTCACTACAGCATGGGAAATTTATCATAGGGTCCTGGAAAGCTGAGGTACAGTCCAACACTGTTCTGCCGCGGAGATGGTCCACACCATCCCAGCCCATGAGTGAGAAAAGAGAGGGGCCTATGTGGTCTCAGGTCTTAAGGGTAGCCCCAAGCCACACCCCGGGGGCAGGTACTTCAAGGTCATAGGTAGGTAGGACAGTTTCCTGTTACATCTCTCGGGGCGGTGTTACAAAGTCATAGACAGAACAACTGTCTACTACACTTATTATTAATTATAAATGCTTGGCCGATAGCTTAGGCTTGTCTCTAGCCAGCTCTTACAACTTAAATTAACCCATTTCTGTTAATCCATATGCTACCCAGAGGCTCATTCCCCTCGTCCATGAACTTCCCGTGTTATTTCTTTTATGTCTGCCTCATGACTTTCCTGACTCCCTGACTCCGCCTTTCCTTCTTCCCAGCGCTCTCTCTGCCCCAAAAATCCTGCCTAGGCATCGGCCAATCAGCTTTTTGTTAATAATGATAGCAACACATCTTCACAGTGTACAGAAGGATTATTCCACAGCATATATGTGTTAGCAAACACATACAATAGACCTCAAAATGTCCCTTGTGATTATCCAGAGCCAAGGCCACAGGTTTTCTCTGCCAGCGAGAGGCTGAAGATTGAGTTGATCACCAGTTTTGACCCATTATGCTTGTTTAATGGCTTCCATAAAAACCACCACCCTTGGGAGCCAATCCACAAGCTTCTGCCAGAGCTTGTGTGACCATGAGCATGCCCCTCTCCAAACCTGTTTCCCTGGCTTGTGAAATATCGGGGAGGACCATGCCTGCCTCACAGCATTGTGGGTATTAAACCACAAATGAACACCTGCCAGAATGCTGGGGTCAGAACTGCTACAACCATGAAAACCAGGAACATTGTCAGCTGTTTTTAGTGATTTTTTTCATTCAGTTAATGATTGAAGAGGCTGTTGGCCTAGGTATAAATTTTGCACCCTTTTCTTATTTTAGTCTCTTGAGTACAAGGCCAGGCAGCGTTGGTATCCTCATTTAACCACAGACATGTGGATCTGAAAGTCCAGAAAGCCCAGGCAGCTCACTGCTCTGGGTGGGCTGCCCAGGCCACCTGTGGCTATGGAGGGCCCCAGAGTGCACACAGAGGCACTGGGGAGCCCAGCTGTCTCCGCCCACCGCCACGTGTTTTGATATTTTTGGGGTCCTTTTTCAGTTGCGGATCATTGTTTCAGAGACAGTGGTGTAGCGATCTGGTTCCTGTTTTGACTGTCTAGAGATTATAGTTTGGGTGCCATTGTCCTGGCCTTCCTGGCCTTGCTGCATCCGGGATGCCATCTGACATCCCTCCCCTCAGGAGCCTCTCCAGTTGCTAGTGAGAAGTTCTCATGCGCAAGAAAAGATGATAGCACCTTCAGATCCCTGCCTTGGAGCTTCGAGGGAAGGTCGGGGTCATTTGTTTAAGGTTGTCAGCCCCTTATGAAGCCCCGTGGGAACCTGCAGAGCAGATCGGCTGTCGCCAGTTTCCGTAAGCAAAGCTGTCATTATATCAGCCACACTCATTCGTTCATTCGTGAACTGTCTCTGCACAGACCTAAGAGCAAACTTCTATTTACCATCTTTTTTTTTGGGGGGGGGGGGGGCGGGGGCGGGGGCGGTGTGTTTCAAGACAGAGTCTCACTACGTAGCCCTGGTTGTCCTGGAACTCGCTCTGTAGACCAGGCTGGCCTCGAACTCACAGAGAGCCTCCTGCCTCTGCCTCCTGAGTGCACCACTACACTGGGCTTATATTTACCATCTATGCTTTATAGAAAACTTTGCTGACCCCTGCTGTAGAGTTTAGAAGCCTCCAGGATCCTGCAGGACACAATGAAAGAGAGGATGTTCTTAGGTATGCAGGTCTTGTGGAATAAAATCTGCAGGGCAGGGACAGTCCTAATTTCAATATTCTCTTTCCAACCATTCATTTAGTGAATAATCCTTATAATAATCTGTGCCACTTAACTCCATTCGGATTTCCCACCGGACACTTGTTAAGTGCTTTGCTTGCATATTTTAGTCCTCCCAACAGCTCTCTGAGATCATAGTTAGCATCTCTACTTCGCATATGGGAAACTGAGGCAGAGAACAGATGTGACTTTGTCTCGGCTGGGGCCAAGATGACACAGGTGAGATCCGTCTGATTTGTATTTGGAGCCGGCATCCCTTTTGAACTCTGTGAGGATGATCTTGAACTCCCGATCTTTCCATGTCCACATTCCGAGTGCTGGCCTGAGCGGGTGTGTGCCACGCAGCCAGTTTATGTGCTGCTGGGATCGAACCCATAGCGTCGTGTGTGCTGAATGAGGTCTGCAGCAACCGCGCTGCATCCACAGCCCGCAGCTGGCACTCTTAAAGGCAGGCTGCACCTCTCATAGCGGAAGTCCTCTTACTGAACTCACCCCACCCTCCCAGTGCCTGCAGCTTCGCGGTGGTTTCCCAGAGCCTGGTCATGCTCCGCTGATGCTGCAGCTGGGCGTCTGATGGGAAAAGTCAGTGGGCCCTAGAGAAAGTCATGAGGGGACTGGAAATGCGGGGCTGTGGTTTCCTTACTCTGTCTCTACACCCTCAACTCTTTGTCCTCTGATTATCATCCAGTGAGAGGGAAGGAATAGGCTTAATCTGGCTGGGGAGGTGCTGCTGTTACCCGCCCCCCCCCCCCCCAGCACACACACCATGCTGCTCCTCTCCCCCTCCACATTTTCAGCAGGTGTAGAGAGGTCAGCCAGGAGGGAAGGAGAGAGAACTGTTGGTTATCAGGCATCTGGTAGGTGCCAGCCTGGATCATGTGCCTGGTAGATACACCTCTGAAGAAGGTCACGTGGCCCTACTTCACTCCTGAGGGACAGGAGTCATTGGCTCAACCACACCCACTAAGACTCTAGGACAGGACTGAGTGCCCTTCAGCCCTACCCCCACTTTCCGAGGTTTGGGGTGCAGAAAGGCATTCTGGCCGTCCGGGGACTGTGTAAAGGGCTGTGCCCTGATTTGGTAATCAGGGCCCCGGAGTGGATCTTCGGTGCACTAACTTGGTTCCTTCTGCCCCTCTGTGACTCGGTCACATGATCAGAGGGTGGCTCTGGCTGCAGGCCCTCCCTCCTCTCTGTACCACACCCAAGCTGCCTGTTTGCTCCCGTCCGCATCCTGCACACCCAAACAGGAAAATTGTGAGTGAGAGTGTGTGCGAGGTACCCCCGGCAGGTGGAAGCATTGACTTGCCAAGGCTCCCTGGAAAAAGGGCAAGTCAGTTCAGATGTTTTTCTGTCCCACGTAACTCAGCTCCCATCTCCTCATCACGTCTCCCCCCCGAAGCACGCATTTCAGTCCCAGAAGCCAAGACCCGGGCTCCACCCTAGCCACAGCACATAAAGAGGAATGGAAATTAATCATCACGTCTTGCCAAGTAAACAGCTCAAGCGTTTAACGTCTGAGTGTGGGTAGAAGTCCACGGGACATATGGCAGTTACTCAGCCCCCTGTCAGCCATGGCCTCTGAGTTACAGACATATTTAAAGCAGGTCTTGCAGTGCTCTGGGCCCACCTGGGTCACAGATTGTTTCTCAGAACCCTTTCTCATACTAGTAGCTAAGGTTTGCTGAGTGCATGACAGGCAGAAGGGTGTTGCCCTTCTGTGTGATCCAGTGAAGGAGGAACAGATACAGTCCCCATGTCACCAAGGAAAAGAGGAAGAAAGGGTCTCGTCGGAAGTCCTAGGCCATTGGGTGGCAAAGCCTTGGAAGCAGGCATATCCCCTGAGTTCATCCAACCCCTCCACCTACGGCTTTGCTCATTTCATAATCCTGACCCAGCACAGCCTGCCCACAGTAGGGCTGCATCAGCGACCTTTGGAATCACATGTTGTTGTCCTTTGGTCACAGTTGTATCCTCGTTTGGGAATCACCGGCTCTAATTTTGTTCTTCCACAAGTGTGTTAGTCTCTTTAGCCCAAAATTTCTCTGCCTTAACACCGTTTTGTTTCTGTTTTGCATTAGTTTTGGAGACTGTCTGGGCCATGGTAGGTTTTCATCAACATCCCTATCTCTGGCCTTTTACCCATGAGATTCCAGAAGCACCCCCACCAAGAATGACAACCAAAAGTATGTCCACAGGCATTCACTGGAGCGCTGGGGTGGAAGGACAGACAGCCCCCAGGTTGAGAACCATTGTCTTAGCTTAAAGTGCAGAAGTTCTATGGTGGCAGGGTTACATTGCAGCGGAATAAATTACAGCCCTGCACGTCTGAGTTTGTGGGGTCCTTGAAAAGTAAGAGACAACCTTGTCAGTGGGCAAGAGGGTTCCAGACCAGTGGAGGAACAGGACTAAGGTCATGAGACAGCCCAGAAACCAGCCAAAGAGCCCCCAGTACCCGCTGTGTGTAATAAGTCTTTCTCTGTCCTGCCAGCCAGCTCCCAAATAATGACACAGAGACTTATTATTTATGAAAGCTTGGCCTTTGGCTTAGGATTGTCTCAATTAACCCAGTTATATTAATCTATGTTCTGCCATGTGGTATTACCTCTCTTCCATCTTGCACCTCCTGTTTCCTCCCTGTGTCTGGCTGGTGACTCTGCCTTTTTTCTTCCCAGAGTCCTCTCTGTCCCCGGAAGTCCTGCCTAACCTCTTCCTGCCTAGCTATTGGCCATTCAGCTCTTTATTAAACCAATCAGAAAGCGCCTTAGCAAAGACACATCTTCACAGTGTAAACAAATAGTCTGCAACAGCTGTGGTTGGACCTGTGGACAGGTTTAGGCATCGCCATAGAGGTCCAGGAGTGGGCTGCTGCCTGGGATGGGGTGGCTGCGGTGTGTGGGGCCAGCTGTGGTGCCGCTCTGTGTTTGAGGTTGGTTCTTTTAGGGGAGCCCAGCTGTCCTGGAGGAGGAGCCTCGGCTGAGAATGGGGTGGGGCCAGACCAAGCAGTGTCTACTGGCCCCACAAAACACCCACCTCAGCAGAGTCTACCCCTGCCCAGCCAAGGACTTGATATTATTCCTGAGACTGATCTTGTCCACTGCGCACAGTGGGTGTCATTCACTTGATCCCTACAGTTTCTTATTCCGAGCCTCCAGAAGCCGAGGCCTCTTTCTGGCTAAGTCTGAGACCCGTGCCCAGTTAGTTACTCATGTGTCTGAGTGACATTCACTTTTTCCAGGGGCCTTGCCCTCTTTATTTGGCAGCTAATCCCTCCCAGTGACTCCTGATCTTTGTGCTATGGTGATATTGCTCCTAACTAACTGAGCTAAATTAGAAAGCCCTAACCTAAAAAGGCCCTGAGAACAGGATGGGGGCCAGGAAGCTGGGGCCCTTCACTTCCCAGCCTCAGCCACTAGAGGGCAGGCGTGGATTCCAGTTGGAGCCTGGCCTCAGGCAGTTTTGTGGCAGCTGGGCCTCCCGGAGGAGGCACCTTTCTGAACCCTGGAGGAGGGCACTGATGGCCAGCTGGACCCAGAATTCTGCCTGTAGAGGAGGCTCAGGAAGGAGCTTGGGTCTGCACAGAGCAGCTTCGGGGGTGAGGCAGCAGAGGACGGTGAGGTGGGCAAGGTAGTGTGCACTGTGAGCCAAGAAAGCTCATGTCCCTCCCTGTCAGTGCTCTGACCACGAGAGGACTGAGGGCCCCGGGCACCTGCCAAGAACAGGAACTGGAGCCAACTCTGCTCCTTCACGCATCGTGGGCAAAGGGCCATTTTCTCTTTGGGTTGGTATTTCCCCTTCCTTCTGCCTAGAGCTGGCAGAACCCATGCTCTGCTCAGGGTTGGGGTGAGTTTGAGCCGGGGGCTGGGGGGCTGTGTGCTTTATGCTTACTTTTTCTAATGCATTGTTTTAATGACCAAGGCAATGTGTACCTTACACTGCATCCCAACCAAGAGAGAAAGGAGTGTTTTCCAAGGGAGTCATCTTACTTCCGCCCCTGGCTAGGTGGCTCCTTTAGTCCTGTAATCAATCAATCAATCAATCAATCAGCCAATCCCCTCCTCCCAATTTGCCCTACCTTGTCTGCCAGGTGCTAATCTGAAAGCAAGGTGCCACTTTAGATTATTGGCAATAATGTCTCGTTCTCAGCAGCCACGTGCATACATGTACCTGCAGGGCCTAGAGGCAGGCGGAGGGATACATGTACCTGCAGGGCCTGGTGGTGGGTGGAGAGATACATGTACCTGCAGGGCCTGGCGGTGGGTGGAGGGATAAATGTATCTGCAGGGCCTGGCGGTGGAGGGGGACAGGGTTGTCATCAGGTTTCAGGGACCTGAAAGGCTCAACACCAAAGCCTGTGCTGTGTCCCCCAGCATTCTGGGTTGGTGCTCTGCTCTGGGGGCACAGACCTCTCTCAAGGCACATCTCTTCTTTGTTGTCTGTGCCCACTTCCCCAGCCTTCCCCAGCTCGTTGGAAAAGAAAGCTCACTGTCTGGGAGAACTCCACGCCTGACACCTTCTGTCTTCCATGCCCAGCCTGACTCGGAAGGTGGAAATTGTTTGTCTTTGAGGCAGATGACTTGGGTCTTTGGTGAAAATGAACAGCTTGAGTAACCGTTGGCCTTCACCTGACCTTGTCCTCAGTGGCTGGGGACTGCCCCTTGTCATGCTCTTCCGGGTACTTGCCTGGAAACCTCTCGTTTATAGGGCCAGCCCTCAAATGGGGACTTAGAGTTAGGGTTGTATGTACCAGTACTTTCTCAAACAATTCTAATTTATCATTTTATTTCAAATCAACACCCTCATCATTAAGTACCTACTGTGTGCAGAACCCTTTTGACGATTCCCGGGGAATCAAGAACGGTTAGTTTAACTGATGGCAGATGCCTTATATGCAAGGCCATGGAGGAGCTGTTCATTCACTCAGTCTCCCTTCATTTACGCCACAGTGACTTACGGGCTGCCGGTTGCAAACAGGGCAGCCGACCAGGTATTTAGCATGCAAAGGCACTTTGTAATGACACAATGAACTGAGTCCCAGGAGTTCTGGAGCTCAAAAGGCCAGGAGAGGAAAGAGTGAGTATGTAGGTGGGAAGACAGATGTTGTCTTCCTCCAGGGTCTCAGACCTGAAAGGGCTGTGTCAGCCGATGGCCTTGGGCAGGTAATGCCCAGAAAGACAAGCACCTTCCAGGCTTTAGTTCCCCACCAGAAGGGGTTAGGGTGGAGTATTTTATTACATTAGTTATATTTGATGGTGTTGGAATGGATTACAGGGCCACTTACATGCTTAGCAAGTGCTCTACCACTGAGTTACAGCCTATGTCGCAATGGTAATTTATTTTCCTTTTTTAAAAAACAATAATAAATTAATTAATTTGAGACAGAGTTTTCTGTGTGTAGACTTGGCTTGCCTAGATCTCACTCTTGTAGACCAGGCTGGCCTCGAACTCACAGAGATCCACCTGCCTCTGCCTCCCAAATGCTGGGATTAAAGGTGTGCTCCACCACTGGTCCCAATGGTCATCTCTTAAGGACATTGAGTCACACGTTCTGTTTAGACTGGCGTGATGTAGTCTTGTAAAAAATTGTGAAGCCTGAACACGGTCAAGGGCTTTGGAAAATGAGCACCACCAAGGGCTGAGGGGGCAGAGGGGCTTGCTGGCCTACACCTTCCACCTGGAGTTCTCTGTAAGCTGAGTTGTTCTGCACACCCCTCTACTCCGCCTCTTGGCCAATTGGACTTGACTTTAGTTGGAATAAATGGCTTCCTGGCTTCTCCCCGTGTAGCCTGTTTCTGGGCCAAGGTTTATTTGAGACTCTGTTTGGATATTGTTAAAAGTGGGCAGCTTGGCTCAGAAAGGTCAGCGGGAGAGATCAGAACAAAGAGATCTTTCAAGCTGGTTTCTCACGGGGCAGCCAGAAATGGCTGAGGAAAGCCCCAGCTCCACCTGGCGCAGGCAGCCGCAGGTTGGGCTAGGGCTGCTCAGGCTGTGGCCACCTGGGCCATTTGAGAACCCCCATTTAGGCATTTCTTAGAGGGGCAAGCTGAGACAGGGGGCGTTCTCGGCACACATGGCAGAGCCAGGCATCCTAGGCTAGGAGCCCAGCTCTCCCTGTGTGGTCGTGGCCACCGGAACCTCTCGTGTGGATTGTTTCTTTAAGGGCAGTCAATAAAAATTGAGATTTACAGAAAACATGCCTGAGGGTGATGATTTACTCTGCAAAGGAATTCCTGGGAGCCTATTCAGATGCCCAGATCCCTTATAGATCTGAAAATTATTAAAAACAAACAAACAGAAAGCTTTGGAACACAGGATCGTGTTAGAATGCAGTACTAGTTCCTTGTATGTGTACTGGGGTGGTCAGTGCCTGGACATCGGGGTCCCCTCCCCGACCTCCAGGAGCAGCCTCTCTGCTGCTCTGGGGATGTGAAGACTCTTTGGAGTGACAGAGAGAACAGTCCCTCCTGCGGCAGAGGAAGAGGAGGCATGAGACACTCTTGGCTCCAGCCTCGTAGCAGTTTGGGCCAGGCTGCCAGGGAAGAGGCTGGCAGGTCGCCCGTAGAGTGGAAAATCACCCGCAGCCCCAGGAGTAGCCTGTCTCCTCTGGGCCACAGGGCTCTAGACAGCCCCGGGGACCAGCCTGCCTCAGCTGTGGACTCAACTGTCAGGATGGTTGTCTCCTCTTTCCTGGGAGCTCCTTTGTCTGTCTTTATCTTCCCTCTTTGTGATGGGCCTGGGCCATCTACTGGGAATCCGTTCTTCCTGCTTGGGGCCTGGGAGAATGGTAGAAGATGACTGAGGGACACTAGGACCTGTCCGTCAAGCCCTTCTGCCTTCTGCTAGAGATTCTTATTACCCTTGAGCTCCCTGTAAAGTCTAATGAACGTTACACTGTCAGTAACAAAGCCTTTAGAATCCCAGTTAGGAGAAAAGAGAAGAATTCGGAATGACCCCTCTCCCGCGTGCGATGGTGTGCTTGGACGTGCCTTATCACTTTCCCGAGAGCTCTGTGGAGAAATGAGGGCTCCTCCCATAGCTAGGGAGACACACAGAGACCAAGCACCTCGTATTCCCAGGAGTGTGGTGTTTCCATGTCCGGTTGGCCCTTCTGAAACCCGGCTTCTCTGACTAGGAGGGCACTGGGGCCATCTGAGGCAGTGGTTCTCAGACTTGAGTGCCTCCTGGTTTGATCAAAGCCAGATTCCCACCTGAGTCCCCCATTACAGATCGGAATGGGGCCTCCGAACTTACATGTCTTTTTTTTTTAATATAACATTTTTACTAATTGTCTGAGGATTTCATACATGCACACAGTGTCTTTTGGTCTTACTCACCTCCTCCTCCCTCTAACTCCTCCTGGATCCACCTCCTCCCTATCCTGCTCCACACTTCATGTCCTTTTCTTTCTTTTCTAATCCACCGAGTCCAATTGGTATTGAATATATATATACTCCTGGTGTGGAGCCGAACCAGAGCCACACCCTTAAAGACAACCGACTCTCCCCCAGAAACCATCCCCTGTCAATAACTCCTCAGCTAGCTAGGGATGGGGGCGCATGGGCTCCTCCCCCATCCAGGATAGAATGTTGACTGGTTTGGTCTGCCAGCCGGCAACCACAGCCGCCGAGAGGTCATGAGCGCAGCAGTCCTGTGGTTTCTAGAAAATCCTGCTTTGGTCTGGTCCTCTCTGACCTCTGGCTCTTTCTGTGTCCTCTTCAGCGATGGTTCCTGAGTTTTCTTGTGGGGTGGAATGGCATAGGACTTGCATTTCTTTCTTTCTCTTTTAAATTTTCTTTAGATTCATTTATTTTTACATGTATTTTAAGTGTTTTGCCTGCATGCATGTATACTCTATGTTAACCTATGGAGGTCTGAAGAAGGGTCAGATCCCCTGGAACTGGAGTTATGGATGGCTGTGAGCCACCTGTGGGTGCTGGGAACCGAACCCGGGTCCTCTGCTAGAACAGAAAGTGTGTTTAACCACTGAGCCGTCTCTCCAGACCCTTCTGACAAGTTCTTGGGATGCTGAAGTTCCTGGGATATCGGTGCTGCTGGTCCAGGGACTGACTGTGCTTTGCAAAGCTCTGGTGTGAGTCATCATTTCCTAGCGTGTAGGCTGAGTACCTTTAGCGATAAGCACAGTGGAATTAAGTAGTACACACACTAGCTTGAAAAATTACTTCTGTGCTTAAAAATACTTCTGCACTTACTATATTTTGGAAAAAAAAACACAAACACAAAAACCAACTAGCACAACAAAGTCATGATTTCAAGTATTTTTTTAAATTAAAGTGAGATATCTACTAAGTAAAAAGAAGATGTAAGCAAAAGTAATACTATAATAATTACTATATTAATATTTATAATAATATTATATTAGTAATTATAATAATATAATAATGATGGTGGTGGACCAGTAGTAAAATTTGAGAATGTAGCTTGCCAACAAGGAGTCTGGAGACACTGAGCTGAGCATAAGCCCATATTTTGCAGGTGAGACCGTGGGCCACAGAGGTAAGGCTTGCTTCCCTGACACAGGAGAGAGGGATCAGGAGGCTGAGGTTCCCCACCTGCTTTCTGTCCATTTCTTCTCTGAACTGGGCAGGTCCGGGGAAGTCCCGACTGACCTTCCTCCAGGTGACTACATTCTCGGGCTTACAAACAAAGCTCTACATTTATAGCCCTGGGAGCTTGTAGCTTCCAGAGCTTCCCTGGAGGCCAAGGACTTGATCTGCACAATCTTGTCCTGTGTAGTTCCCAGGCTGCAAAGCCCCTGGAGACTGAAGAGCTGGGGGTTGGGGGGGGGGGCAGCAGCGGGTTTCCTGGTTACCAGCTGCAGCCTGCAGTCCCAGGCCTTGAGGGTCCTGGAGTGACAACTCTGGCTTTTCTCTCCACTGACTGAAGGTGTTCAAAGGAAACCCAAGCAGACAGGCCTCGTGGTAGGTGCTGGGTTATAGGAGGGGGGTCTGTGGAGCTCGGTGAGCCACGATCCCACTTTTGCTGTCCTCTTCCAGGAACATCGTGAAAGGCATGAGGGAGCTCCGGGAGATTCTGAGGACTGTGGAGACCAAAGCGACGCAGAACTTCAAAGTGGTAATGGGACTGACTGAAGGCTGTGGCTGGTTTATGCAGAGGTCGATTTGGGTGGGAGAAAACGCAAGCTCTAGCAAGAGGTCCCTGACCCAGAGATGTCACACGCATGCCTGTGCTCACCCTCCTCTGCTCTCAGCAGACATTGCTAATTGATCCCAGAATGCTTTCCCACCAGCACCCCTGCTCATCTCATCTTCTTCATCAGGGCACTGAAGATGACTCCTAGCGTTAGAGCGGAGTTGAAATCTACCGCCATCCCTTGCACGAGCAAAACCATCCTAATGATGTGTGGCATTGCTCGTTTCTTCACGACCTTAATAAAGGTCATTGCCTCTCCTTTCATGTCCCAACTCAGGTCTGTGTTCTTAGACCTTTGCTCCCCCCAAATCAGAGCCACGGCCGTGTCTCTCACTAGAATTTTGGGTCGACTGTCAGTCTCTAGAAGGCGTCTGGTAGGGAGCCTCCTGTAGCTGTGGCCTCCTGCCTTCTCCCACCTGGAAGGGACTTCAGTGTCCTCACTTGTAGAGCTGAAAGGAGAGAAGAAAAGAAATGGGGTAGAGCTATGCAAGGCCGTCGGGGGAGGGGCGATGACCTTCGATGCCAGGGGGACGGTAGCCGGGCGGTGGTGGTGCATGCCTTTAATCCCAGCACTCGGGAGGCAGAGCCAGGCGGATCTCTGTGAGTTCGAGGCCAGCCTGGGCTACCAAGTGAGTTCCAGGAAAAGGCGCAAAGCTACACAGAGAAACCCTGTCTCGAAAAACCAAACCCCCCCCCCAAAAAAAAAAAAAAAAAACCAAAAAAGCCAGGGGGACAGTGAGGGACTTGGGAATGGAAACCCGGGCCAAGCACAGCGTGCAGTGGGCAGATCTGCTAGTTGGGAACCAGGGTCACCTAGGCAGGCTGAAGAAGTTTGACCCCAGCCCGACAAGTGTCTCGATCTCTGTCAGGTGGCGGCCAAGCACCTGGCAGGGGTTCTGCTGCATTCCCTGAGTGAGGAATGCTACTGGAGTCCTTTGTCCTACCCTCTGCCTGAGTTCATGAGCAAGGAGGAGAATTCCTTCATCACCCAGAGCCTCCGGAAACCTCACCTCTATGAGGGAGACAAGTGAGTACCGCCCGCCCCGTGGTACCACACCGCTCTCCCGATCTCAAGGCTCCGTTCCCTGCTGCTGGCTCTTCACTGCACCCTGCTTTCCTCCACCCTGCCCAGTGCCAGGCGGGCATCTTAGAGACTAAGGAAAGATGGTCTCTGGTGGGGTTGGGGGAGAATTCTTCATGGCTCCCGGAAGCCACGCCTTTGGAGGTTGCCTGTCTTCCCAGCCCACCCCTCTATGTGCCAGTTGATGGTGGAGTCTGTAGTCCCCAGCAGGGCTTCTTGCTTTTTCCCCCATGCCTCGCCTCAGCCTGGGGATGGATGGGCCGTTTCTTCTGCAGGATGGCAGCAGCCTTTCAGGTTCAGAACTCTGGGGCTAGTTAAGAGCTGCACATGGTGTTCGGTGCCTGTGAATTATGCAGGAGAAGGGTCACCTTACCAGGCTGATGTTGACTCGGGGCACAAGGACTGCTTGGGGGGCCAGAGGTGCTGTCGGTGTGGGCTGGGCTGCAGCCAGGAATGCTGGAATGCTGCTGTGTTTTCCAGCCTCTACTGCCCGAAGGACAACATAGAGGAGGCGCTCTTACTGCTGCTCATCAGTGAGTCCATGGTAAGCCCCAGGTACCACTGACCCCAGGGGATTGGGGTTGTGGAGAGTGCTGGGATAGATGCAGGGTATCCATGGCCTAGTCCAGCTCTGCCTCCCAGGGATGCCCTGAAGGTGTGAGCTTCTTGGCCCTGCTTCCTTCCCTCCCTTTCCTTCCTCCCTCCTCTCTCTCTCTCTCTCTCTCTCTCTCTCTCTCTCTCTCTCTCTCTCACCCTGCAAGTCTGGCTCATCAGTCTTAAGTTTGGTCACGCTAGCTATGCTGGGCTATGATGAGAGACCCAATGTCCCAGGTGGGTAGGGACTGAGTGCATGTGAAATCCCCTTCTGGGATTACAAAAAATTGATGATCACAAACAAGTCAGCAGTGTGCGTTGAGCAGCTAGGTGCTGTGACTGATGTAAGAGAACAGACAAGGAGCTGAAGGAGTATGCATTTTGGAGGCACAAGACCTGGATTGGGGCTCTGGCGCTGTACTCATTAGCTGGGGGCTGGGGACAAAGCACTCAATCCTTCTGAGTCCCAGTTTCCTCTTCCTAAGATGGTGATAACTCAGAGGTAAGTTTGGATAGAATTCATCTTCTTGCGACAACTATTGATTATCTGTCTTGTGCCTGGTCCTGTTCTAGAGGCCAGACATGTGGTGGCAAGCACAATGGAGCCAGGCCCCTGACCTCACGGCGCTTGCATTTTGGTCAGGGGGGGGGTGGTCATGAATAGTGAATGATGCCGGTATCCAGGCTATCTGTGTTTGCATACGATGGAAAAAAATAAGGCAGTGGGGACCCATCTCCCACACCCTGGGCAGATGCGTATGTGAGAGTGTGCGTGCATACATGCCCATGGTGACCACAGTAGTAGGCACTGTCTTCAGAGTACTGTGGAGGCTCCTCGAAGGAGAGCATGGCGTGGTCAGGTAGCCCTGGAGGTGTGAGATGAAGGATGGATCTCTTGTACCAAGGGAAGCTCAAGAAGGGAGGAATGTGGATTGTAGAAGTCAGGAGTAAGGGGATATGTCCATACAGCTGGGTCCAAGTCCTTCAGCTCTGGAGTCCATCGGTGTTGCGGAACTGGGACAGCCAGCCGAGAAACAGGTCTCTTAGATGTGGCATCTGAGAAGTAGAGGTTAAGAAAGCGAGACGCCCTGAGCTGGGCCGTTCGGTGATCACAAAAGAGTATTTGTTTGGGTGTCTGTGTGGGTCATGCCAGGGCATGTCCAGGGCACTTGGGTGGGTTACGTGTGGCTGCACAGGTCTTCTGGTAAGCAGACATGAGGAGGGAGACTGGTCTGCAGGGCAGGGAGACTGCCCTTCCTCAGCCAGGCCAGGCCAGGCCGTTCTAGATCTGAACATTGCTGTGTGAAGGGCATCTGGAACCTGGGTACCAGCTGAGAAGGCATTGTCATTAAAGCCATGCTGAGTGCATGCTTGTGCAGTGGGTAAGTGTTGCTTCGGGGTGGAGAGACACCTAGCTGTGTAGCTGGATTTGGAGGTGGAAGTACCGAGTGTCAGATTTGTTTGTTAGGGAACTGGAAATGGTTCCTTCCTCTGAGCACAGACTGAATCTCAGTTTTGAGTTTTAGAGTCTTGCTGTAGAACTCTTGGAGCCCCTCCACTTGGCCATGACATCACCTATACCCTCCTGTGAGACTGTACCCCCCCGTCTCTGAAGACGTGGGCAAATGTCAGCCTTGTGTGCCAAGGGGTACAGTGTAACTTACACGTAGACCTTTCTCTGCTAGGGGCCAAGGGGGCTGCCTCACTGGGTAAACATTATGTTGAATCATATGAAATTCCCTATTTTCAATTATTTATGGCTTACAAAAATACGTATCAGGGCTGGGGATGCCACTCTTGTGTGTAGTCTTGTCTAGTATGTACAAAGCCCTGGGTCTGTCCCCAACATGACGTGAAACCTGACTTTTGTCTATAATCTCAGCGCTCAGAAGGTGGGTTCAAGAGGGGCGGGGGGAGGGGATCAGAAGTTCAAGGTCATTCTCAGATTTAAAAAAAAAAAAAAAAGAGAGAGAGATTTGGTACCAATGTGGGCTACCTGAGAACCTGTCTCCAAAAGAAGGAGAGTAAAGGAATGTTGACAGTTTCATTCAGGTCAGATTAATGCTAGTGTGTCTCCATTTAACAGAAGAGGAAATAAGGGAAGGGTCCCAGGGTGTGTATGTATCTTGGTCAGGGTCACGTCACAATGAGCTTTGTGTTCATGATATGAGCCACGCCAATCTCACTAACTAGTTTCTACAAGCACAAGACCCAGACCCCAGGCTCCTGGATCTCAGTCATGGCTCTGCCCCTGTTCCTTATTTTGTCATCCATAAATGTGCTAATGAAGTAGTTTTGGAAATAAAATGCGTGACGTCTTGGGAGAGTTTGTTAACAGGGTGGGGCCAGGGTCGCTGTTGTCTGTCTCCTCAGAAAAGAGTGAGGCGGTTGACTTGGCCAACTTGACGCAATCTAGGGTCACCTGGGAGGGGGATCTCCATGAGACAATGTCCAGATCGGATTGGTCTGTGGGACTGTTTGTGGGGGAATGTCTTGATTATATTAGCGGGAAGGCCTGCTCATTGTGGGGTGACGTCATTTCCTGGGCAGGGATTCAGGACTGTGAGAATGGAGGAACTAAGCGCTGACAGGCATGCGTGTGTTCCCTTAGTCTCTGTTCCTGGCTGTGTATGTGATGGGACCAGTTCCCTCATGTCCCTGGGGCTATACATTCCCTGCTATGATGAACCGGAACCTGGAATTGGGAACTAAAATAAGCCCTCCGCTGCTCTCTCTGTGTGTGTGTGTGTGTGTATGCAAGACAAGGTCTCACTATATAGCCCTGGCTGCCCTGGAACTCACTATGTAGACCAGGCTGGTCTTGAACTCACAGACATCTGCCTCTGCCTCTCAAGTGCTGGGATTAAAGCCATGTGCCACTACATCCCACTGGCCCTTTCTCTTCTGTCTTCAGTTGCGCTTGTCACATACCCCCCACCCCCACCCCCAGTGGCTTCTTCTGGATCAGAGCAGGGACCAGAGCTCAGGTGGCTCTCCTTTAAGGTTATTGACACCACTGGCCCAGATCCCTTAAACTGCCCTAAGTCTCAAAGCAGAGAATGGCCTGTTACTAGACTGTGGCCCACACCCGGAGCCTGTGAGTGTCCCTGAACGTAGACCTTTCTCCAAGCAGCTCTTCCTTTTTGCCTTGAGCGTAGCCTGCTGACTTGTCCAGGAGACGCAGAGCTCCACGCTGGCTAGTTAAGTACAGCCCTGGGAAAATGCCTTGTAGCATGCTAGGTAAAGAGGCTGCATGGTTTGGCTTGCATGGTTGCTAGGAAGAGGTACCTGCTCGGATTGGCTGATTTGTTTCCTCTTGCCCACAGCAACCCCATCAGACATTTGGAAATGAGGGATTTGGGGAGGTGATTCCTAAGGCAGCAGGAAGTAACACTGGCCAGGCTTGAGTTTCTGAGACCTTAAAGCCCATCCCCTAGTGACACGCCTCTTCCATCAAGGCCACACCCACTCCAACAAGGCCACACCTCCTAATAGTGCCTCACCCCATGGACCTATGGGGCCATTTTTATTCAAGCCACCACAGCTGGCTTGGAACTCACTATGTAGACCAAGGTAGGCACTGAGCTCACAGAAATCCGCCTGTCTCTGCCTCCTGTGTGCTGGGATTAAAAGCATGCACTACCGTGCCCAGCACATTCTTTTTGTTAATTAACTTATTTTATTTTTGTATATGTGGGCATGTACACATCATAGCATGATTATGGAGGTCAGAGGACAACTTGTGAAAGTCATTTCTCTCTTTCTACCATGTGGGTGCTGGGAATATCAGTCAATATTGCAGGGCGGTGGCGGCGCACGCCTTTAATCCCAGCACTTGGGAGGCAGAGGCAGGCGGATCTCTGTGAGTTCGAGGCTAGCCTGGTCTACACAGTGAGTTCCAGGACAGCCAGGGCTGTTACCCAGAGAAACCCTGTCTCTTGCTGACGCCTACAGCTGCACTGGTGATTAGCCAGAAGATGAACTGAACTGTCAGCTCTAACCCCTCAGTGCATCCTAAGGTTCCATGAACTTTTAGCATGGCCTCTGTGCGCCTGAGGGATTTTTCCCATCTCTGCTGCTGGCTCATTTTAGCTGCAGATGGCAGGCTTGTAGAGAAACCTCTAGAGCGGCCGCTGGCAGCCTCGGCTGTGACTTTGCAGCCACTCCTGCAGTGCCAGCCCACGGTCACAGTCACCGTCACTCCCCAACTCCAGGATGTCCAGAGCAGCCATCCGGCAGAGGGTGTTTGTGGGGTTCTGAATGCTGTAGCCCACTTTTACGGTTGGGAACTCAGAATAATTGCATGGGGTCCACGTGTGTGTCTGGTGCCAGGATATGGCTTTTGTTATGTGCTAACCTGTGTGGTCAGATGATGGAACCATGTCTTCCAAGAGATAAACAGAAATCCACCATCGTTTTCCCAGTAACATAGGGATTTGATTTATAACTGGTTAAGATTTGTGTTTTGAGCCGGGCGGTGGTGGCGCACGCCTTTAATCCCAGCACTCGGGAGGCAGAGCCAAGCGGATCTCTGTGAGTTCGAGGCCAGCCTGGACTACCAAGTGAGTTCCAGGAAAGGCGCAAAGCTACACAGAGAAACCCTGTCTCGAAAAACCAAAAAAAAAAAAAAAAAAAGATTTGTGTTTTGAACCTACTTTTTTATCTTTCAGGCTAAAAGAGCACGTCAAATTCCACTCACTCGTATCTATACATCTACCAGTCTACCCACACTCATCCATGCATGCATCTATTTGCCCACCCACCTGTCCATCCACTCACCCGCCATCTTTCCAACAATCGATTCCCGGACTCAGCACTGTTTATCCCTTAATCTTATTGAGCAGCTTTGCTGGGCTGGACCGTGCTCAGCACCGTCTGTAAAATAAAGGAACAGTCCGAAGTGCTGATCTCTAGTGCGCTCCCACATAGTGTAGGGAGTGCAGAAGCCAGCTAAACCCTTGATCCCTTTTGTGTTGAGCCGGAAAAGAATGCATTGTTGGTGTGGCCTCTCAGAACTGGAAAGGTACAGAGGCCTGATATGGAGCAAGTGTCGGAGGCTGGGGGTGTCGCTGGGACTGGGTCCCTGCACCTTAACAGACTAGTTCCGTGATGTACTCAGTAGCAGGCACCTAGCTGTGTGGGTCTTGGACTTGTCACTCACAGCAGAGCTAGAGTCTTCTCTCTCTGAACCTGTTTTCTCATCCGTCAGATGGAGTTAATAAGGTCTCCGTGGAAGGAGTTTGGGTGGATTAAATAAGAAAATGAACACAAAGCTGTCTCTTCGGTTTGTTCAATGCATGTTTTTGTCCTGGGGGCAGGGAAGGCTTGATTCTGACTTAGTTGCCTTTGGAAACACGTAGGTTTTAATCGAGTTGGGAGATTGAGGTTATTAGTCCGTCGTCTTAAAGGAAAGGGCTTCCTAGGCGTGCTTCCATTTGGGACTCAGCGATGAGACACACGGCGTCCTCGCTTTTGGCATCCACTCTGCTCTGACACAAGGCCTTGCTCGGCAGAAGGCTGCCAGCTCAGAGCCTGTGGTTCAGTACCCGTGACAGGAAGACTGTGACATCTGCCACAGGAACTGTGTCGCTGGGTAGATGAAGCCTGTCACAGAGCACAGAAGCTCTTGGCTCTCTGGACTGGCAGCTCAAGAACTGGTGGTAATCATGTCTACCAGTGGGGGACACCAGCAGGAGCCGCACATGATGGTGTCCTCCAGGGAGGGGGAGCATCAGTGGGCACAGAAGCTCCCTGGGTCCTTCTTTCTGGGGTGACTATTGGGGTGTCAGCAGGCCCTGAGGCTCTCTTGCTTGATGGAGAAGCTGACTCTGAAATCTCTGAGCAGGGCTTTGGACATCTGGCTTTAGGACCCTGTTCTTTGCAAAGAGACAGCACCCGAGACTTCACTGGGGAGACCCTGTCTGCATTTTGCTTTGGTTCCTTCTTCCGAAAAACCAGCCCTGGTAGTATTGAGACTACTGGACATGTTCCCAGAGGAACCTGGAATCAGGGAAGCAGCCAGGGTGAAACCAGGGTGTCTGGATTTCAGTGGGGTCTCTGCCCTCTGTGTGTGTTGGTCTGTTTACTGGTCTCCCTCAGTCTTCTGTAAAATAGGATGAGTGTTGGCAAGAGGGCGTGGGAATGATCAGATGCCACTTAGAAAGTGTTCCATTTACCCTGCTTAGATGGTCCAGGTCTTTCTAGGTCTAGGATTAAGTGGAGGATGGAGCTCTTCAGAGCTGAGCTGTATCTAGCAGAGATTGAGAACTGTCAGGATAATTGACCTGGTAGGCAGGAAAGCCACAGGGCCTAGATGGCTCTGGATGTCCATCCCCAGGGGCTCAGAGCTCTCCCCGGGAAGGTCATACTTGTTTCACTGACGTTGGGGTTCATGGGCCAGATAAGTTGATGGATGTGAGAATTCCCTTCCAGAGAAGGTAACGCAAGGCCTGCACCTAGGGAGGGCATCTCAACAAGAGTTGGGCCTGCCCGAGGAAAAGAGGATTCCTGTTTTTGTCTCAGGGACATTTGTCCAAAGAGCAGTGGTGGGTCCTGGTGAGGTGTGGAGCTGTTAGATGATTGGTGTGTGGCTGGTTATCCTGGACAGGTTATCCCAGGAGAATGACCAGAAGGAGAAAGGTGAAGGATAGGGACACCTCTGGGGGTCCTGCCTGGGGATCAAATGCTCCACTGAACTAAGGTAGAGCATCCCATAGCAGGAGCCAGAGGCTGGTGTGGGAATCACAGCAGTGAGTAGTAGGCAGGGTGGGCAGGGAAAAAACCCAGGGAGAATATCCACCTTTATCCCAGGAACGGCACAGGGGACAGCGGGGGACGGCAGGGGACGGCGGGGGACCATGGGGGACAGCGGGGGACCGTGGGGGACAGCCGGGGACCGTGGGAGACAGCGGGGGACAGTGGGAGACCGTGGGGGATGGCGGGGGACAGTGGGGGACACAGAAGGCAGCTCAGTCGCTGTATTTACTCTAGCAAGTACATTCACATTGCTGCACTGGGTCTGGAAGTCTTCATTGGATTTGAAGTTTTCTCAGTGAAAGAACTCCGAGGCCGTGTATGTACATAGGGAAGGGAAAGAATGTGGTTGGGACTAAGTGGATGGGCTACTTATGAAGCCTGTGGGCCTGTGTGCCTAAGGGCAGAGAGCCCAGGGTAGAGGGATGGGGAAGGCTGGGGCGCCCCTGGCATGGAATGTAAGCCTAGTGGTGGTGCCCCGTGCCTCTGAGGTTTGTTCTGGCTCCTGAGCCACACATGGATTCATGCTCCTTTGTGGCTTACTAGCCAGCCCTAGGACTGACTTCCTTTTTTTCTGCTCCAGTTTCCCTACCCAAACCCGTTACCATGGTTACATACACAGGCACTGCCCAGCAACCAACACTAACCCAGCTTTTTATTTATTTATTTATTTATTTTTTAGCCCTGCCCCCAAAGCCATGGTAACAGCTGGGCAGACTTCTGCTTCTGGCTGTCCTGCGGGAACTATGGTCCCCTCTTGTACAAAAAGCACTAAGGACCCACAAGAGCATGTCCTCACTGCTGTCTGTCCGCTAAGGGGCCAGGTCATCTGGAGGACTTGCTCTGTCTTATGTTCTATCTGCTCTAATAACACCCATTTCTGAAAATCCACCCCTCCTCCCCACCAGACACACCCAGAGACCTGTCCTCTTAGAGGACTAGGGTAGACAGAGAAGGAGTCTCTGTGCCAGCCCAGAGTCGTCTGCCTGGGGTATTGCTCTCCCCACAAAGGTGGATTTATGAAGCTCTGTGTTCAAGGAGCTCAGGTGAGAAATGGCATGCCCTGCCGCAGGGAGTGACGAGCCAGCCGGGGCTGCCAGGGCCCTGGTGTGTGCCTGTGATGCAGAGAAGTGGGTCAGCTGCAGGAAAGCAGCCACCTGAGCTGGGAGTTGCCAGCAGGCTGACACAGAGAACCGCAAAGCGACCAAACTCAGCTGAGCCTTGAAGACAGGAAAACAGCACGGAGTGTTGTGTGGCTGGTGAGAAGTCAGTTAGGAGGGCCACCAGGGAAAGGAGTTTAAGTGTCACCCTGAGGGAATCAGTGACAGCATACTCCTCACTACCCCACCCCCCAACATGGCTTCTGTGCAGGGTGGACTCCTCAGTTCTCGGATGTGCCCAGCAAGGGTCCCTCTACCTCAGGAGAAGCCACCCCTACGGAACACCGGGCCTATCTATCCCTTCCGTCCTGAATTCTTCCTCCTACCCAAAGTCTAGATTCCAGTATGCATGCACAGATGCGTCCCGTAGCCCCCTCCCGAATCGCTGTACTTCATGCCGTCTTCCCCTTCCTGCTGCCTGGAGGAGCCCACTCACCCACGGTCCCCACTGAGTGCCTGGAGCTAAGAGCTGCTGGAGGTGGAGGAGTGGAGAGGCATATTGCGAGGGATGGAAGGCAGGCTGTGTTCCCACGTGGCTGTGTGGGCGGGTCTCTCCGGGAGGCAGGGGGATTTCTTGGCGCTTTCTCTTCCTTAGCTGTTTGCAGTTCCTGGCTCGGTGTATCAGGTTGGCTCTAGCATTGATCTTTCTGAGGATTTCCTGCCATTCCTGGCATCGTCTCCCAGGCATCCCCTCCTCGGCCATCTGTGTTTTGTGAGGAGGAGGAGGAACACTGATCACAATCATGGCTGAAAAGGCACCTGCCCAGATCCATGGCCACCAGTCTATCTTCCCGCCTCAGATGCCCCTCAGGGTGTTAGTTCTTTGGGGCTAGGAGGCCTGTTAGCTTCTAGGGGCCTCTAAGGGAACACATTTCAACCCAGGGCCTTCAAGTAAGGGTATTTCTGTCTCCTCAGCCACTGGTTCATGGGAGCTCCAGTCCCTTGCCTGCAGGAGGGAGGGTGGCTCTGTGCAGAAGGAGGCCGTGAGGAGGGCTGGTGGGCAGGATGGGGCCTGGGCTCTGGTGGGATACTGAGGTTTCAGGGCCAATAGCTCCTTTTGTGTTCTATCTAGCAGGCCAGTCCTTGGTTGACAGCCTGTGGGGAGCAGAGCAGGGAGGGTGATGTTAGACAAGGACCTCTTTGGCAGAAGGAGAGGGGTCGGAGAGGGGACGCTGGGAGTTATCGGCAAGAGTGTGGGGCCCCAAGCTCAGCTTTGCCAAGCGCGGCCACGTGAATGTATGAGAGTCCTTTTAGGCCCCGGGATGTCCCTGCTCTGCAACTGTTGTGACTGATCAGTTACTCTGAGATCTTGGAAGAAGGAAGAGTGAACATTACTGAGAGAGGGCATTAATGATAATACGTTTGAAGTGAAGCGGGAGTGCTGAATGTCACCAGGTGATAAAGTTAGATGAAACACTTGTAGCCGTACCACTGTCCTTGAAACTTCTCTGTAGGTTTGAAGTCTTGCAGAGTTCCATAATGAATACAAGGACCTTGAGCCTTAGGATGGCACCCCCACACTCATCTGGACCAAGGGTTTTCTGTCTTTGGAGAGAGCTTTGTGGGTTTAGGGGAGGTCGTTTCTGAGAGTGGGGTCAGTTACCTGGCTGTGGCAGCAGTGAAATGTGACAGTGAGTGGCTTTGCAATATGGGACCTGTGATGCTAGGTATCCCCACCATCTTTTCCAAACCACCTCCCACCCACAGGCAACTCGGGACGTGGTACTGAGTCGGTCACCCGAGCAGGAGAAGGACCGGAAAGTGAGCCTGCAGAATGCATCAGCCATCTATGACCTCCTGAGCATCACGCTGGGCAGGCGCGGCCAGTACGTCATGCTTTCTGAGGTAGGGTCAGCCGCCCAACCTCCTTCACTTCCTGGGAGTTAGGTCATTCATAAAGGGAATCACACGAGGTGACCATCTGTCTTTGCTCGCTTGCCGCTTTTGTCTCCGTCTGGCCTGTCTCTTCCTAGCTTTGTGACATTGGCAAGCTACCCTAGCCTCAGTCACAGATTCGTTATCTACGGGGTGGGGATTATTGGAGATCTCCCCTCAGGGTGGTTAGGAAAAATAGGTAAGTTGATACATGCAAAAAGCTGAGAGCCCCACCATGTCCCATGATAATAAACACTAGTTGTTATTTTTATTGGGTGGTGTCCTTCAAAAACATGGTCGCAAATCGGATGTCATTTGCGTGTCACAATGACCCTGTGAGATCATCCATGTATTATGGAGATGGGAACCAAGGCTGTAGAGATGTGAAGCATTGCGCAGCATGCATGGCAGGGACTGGATTACCCCTGTGTTTCCAACAGGAACGAGGCTGCCCTGCAGCTCTCTGAAGGCAGTGGCTTGGGTAGTGGGGCCAGTGCTGACCGACCACTTCTTCCTCCCCAGTGCCTAGAGCGAGCCATGAAGTATGCATTTGGAGAATTTCACCTCTGGTACCAAGTGGCCCTCTCCATGGTAGCCTGTGGGAAGGTAAGGCCCAGGGCTGTGGGGGTGGGGGTTAAACTATGGATTCTACAGATTCTGAGGGACCTCCAGTCCCTCTCAGGGGTTTCTCAGAGTTAGATGCTGGAGAGATGTGTGTTGACTGGGAACTGACCCAGTATTGCTATGACTGACTGTGAACGTGGATGGGGAAGGCCCTATATAATACGTGCTCGTGATAGTGAGTGTGCCCACATGCAGGTATGAGCTTGGATGCTTCTCTCTTCCCTATGGTCCACCACAAGCATATCACAGCATCTCTGCTGGTGTGGCTCTAGGAGAGAAGAACACTGCTCCTGCCCCAAGTAGGCCTGCCTGTGAGTTGGGAACTTGCCTAGGAGGGAGAGCTGTAAGGTGGAGTGGGAATCTGGAGGGGAGACTATGTGATGGATGTAGTGAGAGGTACCTGGGTGGGGTCAGCAGAAGAAGCCAGCGCTGCCCGGAGCACGCGGCAGGCACCAGGGCAGGCGTTCGCCCTCCATCTGCCCGGCCCCTACTCCGGCATCCCTGATTTTCTCTCCGATCAGAACTACACTTATGTAAGCCTCTATTTTAAGCAGCGACATGAAAGGAAAACCTTTCCGGAGCCGGGGGCCGAGGGAGCTGGGGCTAAGGATGCTACGAATGCAGGAAATAAGGTGGCATGAGCTCGCAGATGGTTCCAAGAGCTGTAAATACCCACGGCCCTTTCATGGGGCTGAGGGAATCCCTCGCCCCCTGGCCCATCTGTGCCACATTCCATTTCTAGCCCCGCAGCCGTCTCTGAGGAGGGCCCTCCCAGTGTGCCAGTGCCGCCTCCACGGATGGAGGAGTGCCAGGCAGCCCTGGGTCTCTGCAGTAAGACAGACCAGGGCCTGGCAGGGAGGGGGAGGAGGGACCAGGTGCTGCAGTCTTGTTAGACTGCAGGGAGAGGCTGCCGAGCACAGCCAAAGTCAGCGGGGAGTCTCCTTGAGCATCCTTTGCTGGGCATCTGTCTTTGCAGCCACCTCCCAGAGCATCTTGAAGTCACAGCATGACCTACTAGCTCTGCCCGGTAGGGTGTTGTCGGATCTCAAGGAGAATTCAGAATACAGACAGGGGCTGGCCTTGCAGGATTAGAGGCACTCCCAGGCACCTGGCAGGATCACATAAGTAGATGGGGGGAGGGAAGGAGTGTGAACCAAGGAGAGGGCCAGAAAGATGAACCCGGAGTAGGTGCGTAGGACTTGAAGGCACCAGCCTGTTACTGCCTAGGTAGTAACGGTAGGCTGGAGAGGTGTGGCTGGAGCTTATGCCGATCCTCTGTGTACAGCAGTGTTGAGTAGCTTCTTCCTGCCTCCCCCAAACAGGAAACACCTTTAGCCTTAGAATAGCAGTGATGGAGACAGCCTAGAGCAGGGCACTGTTCTGTGGATTTTTTTTTTTTAAAAAAGCTATCGCCTTTAAAACACAAAACAAAACAAAACCCACAAACTATCCATGGAAGTTAGCTTTAATTTTGAGGGAGTTCCTGGTGAATCCAGCCTCAGGAAAAGACACCACAATTGTCTGGGGACTTGAGGGGTCTCCCACCCCCTTATGGAGAAGCTGGGTCCTGAGAGGTCCAGACAGCTTAGCATCCCGCCTCTGGGAAGCCATTCCCTACTCTGGCTCCTTGGCGATCCCGCAAGGTGGGCGTAGGGAGTTGGAGTGGTCAGTGAATTCCTTATATGTGAGGCTCCACCCATCATGCACATCGTGCACTGTGAGATTGTTCTGTAAGGAAGGCATTCTCCAACCGCCCCCTGGGAATCCTGCCTGCCCAAACCATTGGCCTGACTGCCCTGGGCAGACCTCAGGGGAGTGGCCAGAGCTTGCCTTTGCCGAGCCCGAGGTGGGAATCCAGGTTCTGCACCTTCCAGAAGGTGCGGCCGGGTAGATATAAATATGCCTGGTGTTTCGCCCCACGGGGATAACGGATGAGTTCTGTGGCATGATTTAGGTCGTTCCCTCTCTTGGTCTCCACGAGGCAGTTGCATTGGCTGCGTTGCTAGGTAACCAGCATGACAGGGGGAAAAAAAGAAGCCGGCTGCTCCTACTGCTGGGTCCTCAGACGGCTCCTTAAATAGCAGTGTTTTTTGGTCTGCGTGGGGGTGGGGTGGGAAGGGGTGGGTGGATTGGGGAGGGTCAGGACTAGAGAATCTGGTGTTTCCAGAATATGCAAAGGTCGGCACAGCCTAAGGAAAGCTGAGGAGAAGCCTGAGGCTTGCTGGGGTGTGTGGGTCGAGGGACAGTGGTGAGGGACTTAGTGTGGCATTCCCAGGAGAGGGGCTCTGAGGAGGTGGGGCCGGCAGGCCTCTGGCTGCTTTCTGGACTGAGTACTCCCAGTAGGCCCGTCACTTTCTGGCCCTTTCTTGTGGTTGCCCTGTCCTCTTGTGTTGTTAGAATGATTTGGGCGTTTGTCCCCCTAGCTGCCCTGCTTTCTGTGACCTCCCTTGAGGTCTCATCGGGCTCCACCACCCCAGCCCGGTACTGTGAGCCCAGTACAGGCCCTGGATGAAGATACCTACAATTAGCCTCATTGGTCTATTTTCTGTTACTTATAATAAGACAACCGAGGCGGAGGAATTTATAATGAAAAGAAGCTTATTTGCCTCATAGTTTTGGAACTCCAGGACAGGGTGCCAACACTGGCTGGGTTCTGGTGAGGACCTCAAGGTGGATGACGTCACAGGAGTATGTGCAAGTGGAGAAATTGTAGGGCCAGACAGGAAGCCAGATGGGAAAGAGCAGGCCGTGTTCACTTTATACCAATCCCTTGCAAGAACTAATTATGAGAAAGATGTCCAGTCCTTTTAGGGTACACACAATGACCTAACCAGGTCCCACTAGACCCTCTCTCTTCATGTTCTACTGCTCGAGGCTATAACCACTCTGAGGTTCAAGCTCCAGCACATGGATTCTTGGAGAACTGCTCAACGTAGCCCAGTCAGAGCCCAAGGAAATCTGTAAGACTGGGTGGAAGAAAGTTCTTCCATAGATGGTGGGGACCGGAGAGGTGAGCTGGGGGCGGGGGAGCCACACATTCCAGTCATAGCCTACTGCAGGCAGATGAGCCTGCCAGAACCCTCTTTTCCTTAGTGGCACCCCCAGAGTTGCTAGGGAAGAGGAAGGCTAGGTTAAAGTGAGGAGTTCAGCCCACAGTGGGACCCAGAACTGGTAATGGTCCAGCTCACACGCATATACCTGAGGGTCACAGGTAGGAGCTTCCATGACAGGAAAGTAACTGTTGAGTTTCCCTCAGAAAGTGCTGGGCTCAGAAAGCAGAAGTTTCCAGACTACACACACACACACACACACACACACACACACACACACACACACACACACCCTTCCATCTCTCCAGCAAACCAGCTTCCTCTGGCCCAGGTCATCACCACAGAGGCCACACAGGGTAGTGTTTAAGCGTTAGGCCCAGGCAGTGTTCAAATCCTTGCTTTGTCATTTACGGGCTACGGGGCTCTGAACCAGCCTCTCCCTTCTCTCAGCTGTAAAGCTGTCTGTCTGGTAGGAATGTTATGACAATCCGACACTCTCGCCGAGGAGTTCGCAGACTTTCTGTAAAGGGTCGGGCAGTAGTCAGGTTCGACTGACTATTAATAGCCAGTCTCTCTCAGCCATTCCACCAAGGTGGTATCATGCAGCAGCCACAGATAGTATATAAACGCACAGGCGTGACTGAGTTCCAGTTGGACCCTATTTACAAAAACAGGCAGTAGGCTAGATTCAGCCCGCAGGTTCTTTCGGCAGCCCCTGACTTAGAAAAAATAAAAGTGCCTGGCACATGGTGAGATCTGGAGTATTCTCTGTCATTCCTCTTGGTATAGGTGACGCGCCTCTCTGGGCCTGGATGTCCTTCCCTTCTGGCCCTTCTCCGCCTATCCTCGGCAAATCCTGGTTGAGTCCTGGAGCCCTGTGGGGCCTCCGCTTCCTGTCTGGAGGGTCTCTCTGGCCCTCCCACCTCCTCACCTTCTTCCCAGCCTTTGTACAGCTGTCCAGTCCTGTCACAGCTTAGAGGGGCCCTGTCTGTTTCTCAGATCTCTATGGTTCTGATCTGAATTCTTTTTGGAAAGTTTCTGTTTGTTATCATGTTAACTGTTAACTGTTCTCCAGAGGGTGAGGTTCATCATGGTCTCCATCTCAGAGGGGGGCTCGCCGCCGGCAGTGACTATCACCCGGGCTCCCTTCCTGGTTCCTAGAAGGAAGAAAGGGGTACAGAGCAAGCACTGTTGGGGGAACTACCCCTGAGGGCGTAGGGCACCCCCGAGTATGGGGAGCTAGTGTGGCCAGTGCTTGTGTTCCCTCCTCTCTCTTCTGCAGTCGGCCTACGCCGTGTCCCTGCTGCGTGAGTGCATGAAGTTGCAGCCCTCGGATCCCACGGTGCCCCTGATGGCTGCCAAGGTCTGCATCGGGTCCCTGCACTGGGTGAGTGAGCTGCGGGGGGGGGGGGGGGGGGAGCTCCAGCAAGTGGGAACGAGGTGGGGGGGTGTGAGTAGAAGAAAGGGTCCCATTTGTGTGTAGGGACGGGAGGAGAGTCTCTGAGGACCCCCCCAACTTTGATCTTGACAGCATAGCCCTTTGAAATGTGATCCCCAGAGAGTCAGACAGGTGGAAAGTCCTAAGGGGAGTTGGCAAGTCCTCAGAGTTACCTAGACCAGCCTGTTGGAAAAGAGGCTGCAGATGAGTGCATAGTTAATAGAGGAAGGGGCGGGGGGTCGATCTCAACCCTAGCCTGAGACAAAACAAAGATGGCTTCCTTGCTATCCCTTCTTGGTTCTTATTGCACCCCTCGACCTCTTTCCTGGTCCTACCGTCTGCTCCCCACTCTCTCCGGGGGCGGCTTTTAGGAGACTGTAGCTCCAAGGGTACTTCTCAGCTGGTGGTCTTTGCTGGAGGGTCATGAAGGTGCCCCCCAAAAGATCAGTGAGGAAACAGAATCTGGAGCCCCGAGCCCCAGGATTTTGATGAGCTCAGACCCAGGGCATTGGACCCTGGGGAGTACAACACTAATATTATCTCTAACCGGTAACTCTATCCAGATCATCTTCACTGTCTTTGGCCCCAGTCAGCTTCCCGATGTCAGGGAGAGCCCCTTTTCTATGCTCTGAGTGACACAGAACAAGTTCCTCATCCCTCTCACTTGTCATCTTATACCCCACACATCCTTTCCAAGAGGCTTCGTAGCCCCCATTCCTTCCTCTGCATTCTAGATCCGAAGTAAGCACCCACTCTTTCGTAGGTGGCATGCAGCTGCAGGCTGCAAACTACAGGCTGCCGAGTCCCGGGCCAAACCCTTGCAGCAAAGAGGACTGGAGGTGCTGTTACCCAACCCCCAGTCAGACTTCCTCTTATTCCAGGACTTCTGAGAGGAAACCTTGGGCTCATCCCTTCGTGGCAGCCCAAAATACCCATGTCTCTGGGAGCAGGGCTGGGGAGGGCATATGTGCTCCCCCGAGCTGCCAGCTCCAAGGAGCTGTGAGTCCACCCAGCCAATGGCGCCCTTGCCAGGAAGCCCTAAATTTAGGTCTTCCCACCGTGGAGGAGCTGTTTCCCTCCGCAGCATAATTACAGTGATTATGTGCATTCAGATTACATGGTAATAAAATTAGGATCAAATCAGTCCAAATTGAAATCAGATGAGTTAGGAGCAAAGGAATCAATGACAACATAAATAGAAAAGCCCAGAAGGAAACTTAAACACGCAGACTTGTCATCAGAAAAGGGAGAAAGGCCGTCTGTTACTGGGGGGTCAGAGTTTGGTGGGGGGGGGTCAGACACAGGAGGGAGCAAGGCTCTGCAGGTGAGTAGGGATGGGGGCGAGCTGCTGGGGACTTGGATGCCTCCCCTGGGCCCCTGCCCCTCTTTTTCCCCTAAAATTAGTTTTCCTTTGTTTTATTTTAAGTGACAGTGTTTTCCCTGATTGTCTGTGCACCATGCGTGTGTAATGCCCACAAAGACCAGAAGAGGGCGCCGGATCTTCTGGGACTGGAGTTACAGAGGGTTGTGAGCAACCTTGTAGGCTCTGGGAATCTATCTAATGGAGGCCCACTAGAAGAGCGGCCAGTGCTCTTACCCACTGAGCCGCCTTACCAGTCCTGCTCTTGGACCTCTTAGAGTCCTGTTTGTACTTACCTTGGGCGTGGATTGAACTGGGGTATGAACTGGGGTATGAACTGGGGTATGATCCTCTGTGCTTCTCCAGGACAGAGCTGTGTCTTTTCCTGAGGCCAGGGGGTGATGCCGGCCAGTACCTGTGCCCCTTCCCTCCAGGAACTCTGTCCTTCATTATGAACTTTGCCTAGTATGGGCTTTGTGTCTGGTTAAGTGCCTCCTCCTCCTCGTCTTTTGCCTTGCACTCTGGCCACAAGGCAAATTTGGGGCGGAGATAGAAAAGAAGATGTAGATATTTTCTTGGATCCCTCCAAACCCAGTTATTTAAAACTGATTTAATTTAAAAAGTTGGAACCCCTTCAGGAGGTGTAGAGGACCACACAGACAGCAGAAGAGGTGAAATCAGACGCAGGTAAGCTCCCGTGCAAAGGCCTGTAATACCTCTCACAGGCTTCATATCCCTGAGGGAGCAGCATGGGTGCAGGAAAGAGCGTAGGCTGTGGAGAACAGATAGGGTTCAAGCCCTTCAGTCTACCTTACTCACTAGCTTGTGTGACTTGGAGGGAGTGACTCGCTCTCTCTGTGCCTCAGTTTCCTTGTCTATAATCTGGTGACTGGCATGCCCACTAGTAGGGTGGCTGTGAGCCTTAGGAGATGGTGTGTGTCTGCATGGCACTTTGCAGGCATGTGACAAATGGTTGTCATTATTCTTTTTAGCACCTTCAGAATAGTAATCACTTAGAAAGGACATGCCTTTGCTTTCGACTTTGAAGCCCGGGAAGATGGGTTGTTGACGGAGCAGGGAAGAACACCCACTCTTCTGCCACCATCTTGCAGAAGTTAAAAAGTGCCCATTACACCCCGAGGAAAAAATAAAAGCAGATTTTCCACAAAGTAGCTCCAGTCCTACAGGAAGGGACTCAGGAGAAGCTGGAGGTCTTTAAACAGAGCCCTGCAGTCTCAGAATGGAACTCTCCCCGGTCCCTGGGAAGAGAGAAAGCGGGTGGTGAATCTGAGGCGGGATCCTCTTTGCTCAGTGCAGGTGAATGAGGCTGCCCGGGGACGGAAGGCAGCCCTGAGCCCCAGCCAGTGCGCCAGCTCAGCCGAGTCTGCTGCGCAGGGACCAAATTAGGAAAGCCTCGGAGACCCAGGAACTTGGGAAGGCACAGAGTGTTTCCGTACTTACAAAGAGCAAGACCAAACCACCGAAGGGGCACCCTATGCGGCGCATCGTTCTTTCCAAGTATCAGGGTTGAGAAAACTGAGAAAGTGCAGAGGGGCAGCTATGAAGCCCTCAGACCTGCCCGGGCTGGGGTCACAGTTCTACATTTGCTGAGTGGCTGACCGTGGGGTGGGGATGTCACACAAGCTCCCTGTTCCTCATAATCTCCTGCCATGGTGCTATGACATGGCGGTCAGGCCCCAGGCTGTTCAGAAGCACAGAGGCAGGGAGGACCTTCCCTAGGTGGCCATGGCAAGGTCACCTGGCTGCTCCGAATTTGGGCGTTAGAGACAGTGGCATAGTGGGGTGGGGAGGAGACCGCACTGGGAACCCCTCATCGAGATGCATTTTGGTGAGAAAGAGGACCTCGTGCCACGATCTTGAGCTGGTGGCAGAGACAGCATCGTCCCGGAGGCCACAGGAGGAAGTGTCTGGAGTCTGGACCCGAGGTCCCCAGCAGGAGGAGGCTGGCAAGGGTTACTTGGTAGAAATGGTGTTGGGCGGTTGAGAGATGGAAACTGTTTTCAGATCATGTGCCAAAGACTCAGTGGGTTGTGGAATAGAACTCTTGGAAGAAAAAAAAAAAGACCGTAAGAGAAGGGTGGAAAATACTCTGATTTGTTGTCCTCCACGCAAAGGGTGAGTGTCTAGTGGGTGGTCTTTGGTGGCAAATGTGTCCTCGGCCTCAGATGGGGTTGGAGAGCATATGTACCTGCGCAGCGGACTGGGCAGGTCTGCCGGGTGCTGGCTTGTCCTGTGTCATTGAGGCTTTTCTGGGATGAACTGCCAGGCCCGGAGACAAAAGGCAGGCTGTATTAGCGTCCTTTTTTTGGATTCCGAAGGTCCTTTGATGCTGCTTGCAAATTTTTCAGCACAATGATGTGTGGTTAATATATACATATGCACACATATATGCGTAGTAATTGTGGCCTCTGTACATATTACATGTACTCACTGCTATTCATCTTTGACAATTATTAGTCAAGCACACCAAGCATTCACATCACATCAGTCCTCCCAGCAGCCCTCTGAGGGTGACACCGTTGTCCCCATTTTACAGAAGAAGGAACTGAGGCCTGCAAGTTAACCTCAGAGGAGTGGAGCCCAAGCAGTGTGCTCAGCACTGTCCTTGTCCCCGAGCTGCCCCTGCCTCTGCGAAGAGACCTGACCTGGGAGTCAGGGGCTGTTTTGGAACCTGGTTGGGCTCCTAGCCCTTCAGAGCTGAATTCTAAGGCTTTCAGATTGCCACACCTGCTTTAGATGAGGAGAGATTGTGTGCCTAGGAAAATGTTTTGTTTTTATTCGGTTTTCACTCTGGCCATGACAGCATTCTCCCCATTTGCTAGCTAAGGCACCCATGTCTATTAATACCATGTGTAATTATTGTATTGTACATTAACTTACTTGGAATTAATACTATTTTTCCTGTATAATTACCGCAGTAAATCCACATGCAGAAGGGTTGCTTTGTGGGTGGCAACAGATCTCAAAATAGTGTTGGCCCTGTAGGGAACATGGTACATTCAGGAGTCTCGTTCTTCGCACAGTGGGTGCTCCGCTCCTTCAGGTTTGGGGTGGGGGTGTTGTTTGTTTTCTTTTTTGCACATGGCTCATCATGGCTGTGTCCAAACTGGGGACTCAGCCCATTCAGTTCTCCGTGACCTCTGTCTCGGGCAATTCTACTACCCACCAGGGAGATGCTTTACCTGGGCACCCTCCCCAGCTGTGGCCAGCAGTCAGAGCTACCCTACTCCTGCCGAGGGAACCAGCTTAAGTCAGGATATGAGGAGGGTCGGGCCCTGCTAGAAGCCAACGTGAGTGTGACTCTCGCCCCCATTGGTCCACCTGTGTGGTTCTCTAGCTGGACGGGATACCTGCACTAGGAACATGGTTGTCTGTCTGGCAGTGTGGAAGTGGGGTGTGAGTGGGAGGGAGATGTTGAAGCAGCCCTGGGAGCTGACATATCCTGGGTGACACATAGACGTCTTGCTGTGCTTTCCACAGAGCAGGTTAGGGGCATGTGGGAAAGAGTTGGTGGAGACACATGAGAATGGATACAGCCTTAGCCCCAGCCCTGCACCCCAGCCAGCCTCATGGCTAGGGGTGCCACAAAGTGTCCATAAATCCCCGCTCATGTGCCTTCTCCTTGGGTCCCATGTTGTGTATGATGTGTGCTCACGTGGCCAGTGCCAGCTGGGCCTTTTCCAACTGGACCAGTCCCTCTGCTCCCAGGACAAAAACAGCCTAAGGCCTTTTTCCCTTCAATGTTCAAGCTCACTGGCTTCCTGCTCAGGAAGGGAGGGAGCGAGCTCCAGACTAGCCTGTGTGGCAGCCTGCCTACTCTGCAGGGCCGGCCATGTTCAACAAGGCACATGTTCCCAAGGCCCAGCCAGCCCTGGCTCCCCTCTGTCTGCTGAGCGGGTCCTCCCTACAGAGACCACATGAGGAGGGAGCCACACATTCTGGCCTGTTTTGAGTTCATACTCTCAGCACAGCAGACTTTGGGAGCTGGCTCTCCCAGGCAGGGAGTGTCTGTCTGTCTGTCTGTCTCTTTGGAAGAGCTGGCACCTGTGACCTTGAGTACTGGCTCCTTGGAGGGGACATAGCTCCAGGGAGGTACTTCCTGGTATAGCAAACAGCTGGCTCTTCTGCTCAGTAGTTGTATGGCCTGGAGAAGTCACGTTGCCCACAGTTCCAGCGTAAGGAATTGTTCTGTTTATTATACTTGGGGCTGACACTGTCCCAGGTTGGTGACTCTGTTCCCTGTCCTGCTCAGGACAGCAAAGGCCACCCCAGTGACCACTGCCTTTCCTCTTTCCAGCTGGAAGAGGCGGAACACTTTGCCATGGTGGTGATCAGCCTTGGAGAGGAAGCAGGAGAGTTCCTGCCTAAAGCCTACCTGGCCCTGGGTCTCACCTACAGCCTGCAGGCCACTGATGGTGAGTGCCAGGTCCCAGGAGAACAGGCCTGTGGACGAGGCCTCGGGATTCCCAGCTGCCTCCGAGGGGTCTCATTCCACTCGTGATCCCTCCTTGCTACTTTCCACTGACAGAAGCACTCCTCTGGGACATGTGCATGCATATACACACCCCACCACACACACACACACACACACACACACACACACACACATACACACACACACACACACACACACACACACACACACACACATATACCCCTCAGTTCCCAGAGTTGCTCAGACACCTACCCACCAATGGGCCATTCCTCTTCATGGACCCAGGTCTGTCACCACGTAGGTCCCGCCCAGCCCACACTGCCCTCTGTGGTCCTCCGGGTACCTCCTATCTGCAGTGCTGTCAGCCCTCCACCCCACTGTGGCTTTCCTTCTACTTCTCATGGGCCTTTGTCCTCAGCTCTGCAGCAATCCTCTGGGGTCTTTGAAGTCCCTTCCCAAACATTACACAGTACCAAACACCTAGGGGAGTTTCCTATGGCTCTCATCCCTCCTGGCCCAGGCCTGGTGTTCTGTTCTCGGCCCTTCTAGTTCAGCCCAGGGCCTCCCCATTGGACGGGCAGACACCGGCTTTTGTGTCCTTGAAGTCTGGAAGAGAGGGAGCGATGACCCCCACCCAGACTTTGCCCGTGCCCCCTAGTGCCAGCCCCTGTGTGTAGGCTCCAGGGACCCTGGAAGCCATAACAGGACCATCTCGTATCGGCTGTCTTCTGCTCCTCACACCCAAAGGCATGGCATCTTCAGGCACTGTCCCTTAGTCACAGCAGTCTTCTGTGTCTTGGACCCTGTCACGGGACCTTGGGGTTTGCAAACCGGGCCCTGCTAGGCTCCTTCCTGCTAGGTTCCTGTGCCCTGGGGATGGACTAGGGAGATGCTTGCACCTCTTCAGTGACCCCGATCCATCATGTCTCCTGCAGCCACCCTGAAGTCCAAGCAAGATGAGTTGCACCGCAAGGCCCTGCAGACACTTGAGCGGTGAGGAGACGCCCGCCTAATCTTTTGCTTCCTCACGTGCAGAGCGGTAAAATGGAGGGTCCCACAGTGAGGTTTCACCCTCTGAGATGGGTGTCTCCGTCGTCCCTTTTATGGATAAGGAGACCACAGGCCAGCCGGTCACCCAGCAGGCAGAAGGGGGTTATTGGGGTGTCCGGTGACCTTGCCCTCAGTGCTGGGCACTGGGGAGCCCTGTGTTCAGCTCGGAACTGGGTTACTACAGCTGCCAGGCCCAGCCCTTGCTCCTGGGGCTCTCAGGCTCCCACTGGTACTGTGATGCTGGACAGAAAGCAGGAAAAGCAGTCTGTACATCAATGGGTCTCAACATGTAGGTCATGACCTCTCTGGGAGTCGCATACCAGATACCCTACATATCGGATATTTATATTACGATTCATAACAGTAGCAAAATTACAGTTATGAAGTAGCAACGAAATCTTTTTATGGTTGGGGGGTCAGCACAACGTGAGGAACTGTAGTAAAGGGTCTCCGCATCAGGAAGGTTGAGAACCACTGCTCCACGGTGTCCTGCAGGTAGCAGGGCCTCGGGAGTGCTGTCGGTGTCCTCTAGCCTGACCACACCAGAGCTGTAGGAACTTCCCACCCCCAGCTTCACAGAGAGTTCCTGGAGTCAGGGAGGGAGGAAGGCATTGAAGCTCCTTCATCAGACCTGCCTTGCTACTCCCTCCCCCGGTCTGACCCACCGTGTGTCCCCGTCCCCCACACTGAAGTGGCAGAGGGTTGTTACTGGGGAGGACCTGGCTAGGACTCCTTGCACCAGTGTGATTGGAGCATATGACACACCAGCCTCCCTCTGGGTCAGGTTGTTCCCCAACCAAAAAAGCAAGATATTCCAGCCCTGGGACTCCCCCACCTCTCCCCGCCAGTGTTACGTTCCTGGGACTTCTTGCTCAGATGGGCAGTTCAGAGGCCCTGCATCCTCCTCGGGGCAGTATGAGTGTCCTTTAGTAGGAAAGCCGTAGTCAGACTAACCAATGTCCACAGAGAAACAGCCAGGCTGCCATTCACAGATGTCACACTCTCTTTTCCCTGCCCTACCATTCCTTTGAGATCTGTCACCTCGGTGATGTCCTACCTCAGCTTGTGCCAGCCCTCCATGAGCTACTGTCCTCTACCATGAGCTGCCTGGGGACCTCTGCCCGAGCCATCCCCTGCCATCTGAGGGGAGGGGGGCTGGCATGATCTCCCACCATATTGCCCACCGCACCCAGCACACCACTGACAGTAACTGACTTTCGGCTCTCTCTCCCCTACAGAGCCCAGGCACTGGCACCCGATGACCCCCAGATTATCTTCTATGTTGCCCTGCAGCTTGCCCTCGTCCGACAGGTGTGTTCCTAATCCTCAGATCTGTGTGACTGTCTGTCCCTCGGTACCCTTGTCTTTGATGTGAGCATCTTTGTGTGAGGGGTCCAGTGAGGATTCGGTCAGTGTGGTTACACCTCAGCCCACTTATGATGGGCACACAGAAAGGGTTATTCAGTGCCCTGACTTTCCTTAGAATACGGCAGTCTCCTGAGAAATGGGTAAGTGACCACAGCATCATTTGTTTGTGTCCTGGCCTTACCCTCGACATGGGCAAAGTGTGATTGGCACATGGGGCTATTTCTGGATGGGTTCTGTGTGACCCCAAAGCTTTCTCCTGACCCCAAAGACCCCACTGCAGGCTCCTGACCTCAGGGGTTCAGTAGGTAAGCTACCTTTGCCCTACCAAAACCATCACCACCATGGCCACCAGCAGCTCTCCGGGTAGAACCACCTTTCCCCCAGTGATCTGTGAGGTCAGTGTCAGGGGACCCCAAGTTCATAAGCACTCCCCTAAACCATGCCTTTCAGAGTCTCCTTTGATCTTATGCACCCTGAAGCCCTCAGGCTATACTCTGGGTATCTGTGGTGGCCTTGACTCAGTGCCTGCTGATTCTGATACACCCTGACTGTTTGGGGACTGTAGGTGGCCTGAGGCCCCAGGACAGCTCCGGGGAAGCCTCATAGGCTCTGTCTACAGCCTGGCATGGTGGTGCACACCTGCAGTCCTGATACTTAGAAGGCTAGGGCAGAATTCTTGAGTTTGAGGCTAGCCTAGGCTACAGAGTGAGCTCCAGGTCAGCTTGGGACACACTGCAAGATGCTGTCTCAAGAAACTGAGCAAAAGAGAAAAAAAGAGACCCCCATTCGTGCTCGGACAAGAGAGGGTAGCTGCTTCGTTCGTTTCCTCTTCAACATCCCGTGCAGGGACCACACGGCCTCATTTCACGCCTTGACCCCAAGTTCACCCTGCCCCAGCTGAGAGGCGCCTGGCCCATTTGGAGACAGGGCCCCAGGTACCTGGATCCCTGCCAGGAGGCTGGTCTGGTGATCACCCCTGACCTTGGAGCAGCTCGCTAGCTGTCTCCTCTGACTCAGGAGCAGTGGGGCTCCTCTTCCTCCCTCCTCACCCTCCCCTGGAGCCCACATGTTCTTGACTTCCCACTGCCCCGTAGTCCCACCACCGAAAGCCCTTCCTCCTGCCTTCCACCTGGACTCTTAGCAGTGTTTGTCCAGCCTGACTTGTCGGTCTGAATCCGCCATCTCCACCTCCACCTCCGAGTCCTTCTGTCTCAGCTGCTTTCTACCCAGCGGTCCCCCCACGTCACTGCTCCTGCTTTCTGCCCCTCCTCTCCCTTCCTCTCACACCACCTCCTCCTCTGTGACTCATTCATCCCTCCCCCACCTCCACTATTTACCCACGATCCTGACTCCCAGGCCCTGCTCACTGAATGCCTCTCCTCTAGGAACATCACTCAGCTTCTGGGAACAGACGGAAAGGTACCTGAGACGGCTCTATTTTTAGCCCCCTGTAAAGGAACCTGGTGCTTTTTTTTTTTTTTTTTTTTTTTTTTTTTTTTGCCAATTACGTTAATGATAAACCTTCGGTGATGCATTTTTTTTTTTTTTTTTTTTTTTTTGGGTTTTTCGAGACAGGGTTTCTCTGTGACATTTTTTAATCTCTTCAATTATTCACCCGTCTTTGATGAATGGTGCCCATCTTCCAAAAATGATGTTTGTTAGGCCAGTGAGGTCTGGTGCTGTTTTCTTGTGGACACCACATCTAGAGAGTCCCAGAAGGTTGAGGGCCTTGAGTGGACTCATAAGGTAGTAATCCTTACCTGTTTAAGTATCTGTGACTTTCTGCCTAGAGCATGGTTTGCTGCCCTGAGCTGTGATATCGGGGGTTTGGATACCCCTCCCAGGATATTGGAGTCTGTTTTGGTGAGGCACGGGGCAAGACCAGCCTTGGAGAGTCACATATGCTAAGGTGGTAGCCACACCGATCTTATTAGCTACTTCTTCACACTTTCCTTGACCTACACACAATTCTGGGCTTGACACTTAGCGGCCAGAAGGAGACCATGTGCTGGGCCTGGCACTCTGGGAATGCAAAGCACCATAGGGAACACAAGAGGTTGGTGTCTCAGGTATGCTAAGGAGCAAGACTCTTAAAGGCTCTACGCACTGGTCAGTGGTAGAGCACGTACTTAGCGTATGAAAGGCCCTGGGTATAGTCTCTGGCACTGCATTAAAAAAATATTTTTTGGACTAAGGAGTCCTGATGTGGACAGTCACCAAAACAAATGCAGCTGCCCTGAGCACATACCCTTGAACTAGGAGGAAGAATCCTACAGTTTTTGTTGTGGGGTCTCGGGAAGCTGAAGTGGGGAAGAGAGGCTTTGGGAACGCCACTGAGCTGGGGTGCTGCAGGATGTGTCTCATACCCGAGCCTTGGAGCAACCACAGGAGCCTGACCACATCCTTCTATAGAGGAAATGCAGACCAGAGAGGTGTGTCTACCTGGCCGTAGGTACCAGCAGAGCAGTGGAAGAGCTGGGGTGCACTTTTGGCTCTGTGAGGGTGTGAATAGGAGGGGTGTCTCTCCATCATCTACATACCCCACTGTGGCGTGCATGAAGAGAGTAACAGAAGAGCCTGTGCGCTGGGCTCGTAGATGGTGTATTGTCCAAATAGGCCATCCTAGCCCTCCTCTCCCATGCCTGGTGCTGTGTCTCTCCCGGTCCCCTCTGGTTGTGCAGTCACAGTCTCCACACACACACGAGAGGCAGGGGGCTGAGAGGAAGGCAGGGGATGGATGGGCATTTCCACAGAAGTAGGGCCTTGCGATGAGGGTGCCATTTACTGAGACAGCAGGGAGAACACGCCTCATGCATTCTGGGCAACCGAGCTGAGTGAATGCCAGAAGTCTGAGGATGGAGATGATGGGCTGGACATTACTGTAATGTGCACTCTGAACCTGCAGCTTAAGGAGAGTTGACCTACGTCGGTGGTTCTCAACCTGTGGGTCACGACCCCCCATAGGGGTCACATGTTAGACATCCTGCATAGCAGATATTTTACATCACGATTCATAACAGTAGCAAACTTACAGTTATGAAGTAGCAACAAAAATGATTTTATGGTTGGGGCAGGGGGGGGGTCACCACAACATGAGGAACTGTATTAAAGGGTCATAGCGTTAGGAAGGTTGAGAGCCGCCAGCCTACACTGAGCTCCTCACTCATCCAGTGTGGCATTAGCAGACTGTGTGGGTTTAGCCTGTGCTAATCAGCACTGAAACACCAACCTCTCAGGATAGGGATGCTTGAGCAGACAAAGGGTTAGAAGGTAAGTGAGCGTGTCCAGGTGTACATACCCTACCAGTTTAACCCATCTCAGGTAAGCCGTATGCCTGATGTGTAGGACATGGAATTCCGAGAAGCATGGGCTCCCAGGCTGCTGTGGATATTGCTCTGTATAAATAACATGCTGATTGGCCAGTAGCCAGGCAGGAAGTATAGGCGGGACAAGCAGAGAAGAGGATTCTGGGAACAGGAAGGCTGAGGCAGGAGACGCTGCCAGCTACTGCCATAAGTATCAACATGTAAGATACTGGTAAGCCACGAGCCATGTGGCAAGGTATAGATTTATAGAAATGGGTTAATTTAAGATGTAAAAACTAGATAGCTAGAAGCCTGAGCCATTAGGCCAAACAGTTTAAATACTATAAGAGTTTGTGTGTTTATTTTATAAGTGGCCTGTGGGACTGCCGGGGCTTGGCAGGAGCTAGAGAGAAACTCTCCAGCTCCACCATATGCCTGATGTGTAGGACATGGAATTCCGAGAGGCAGGGGCTCCCAGGCACAAGAGACCCAGACCTTTCAAATTCACAAGTAAGGTGTTGCTTTCTCTAACACCCCAATAGTACCCCCCAAAGAGCATGCTCTTTGGGTTCAAATAGCAGGGCGCAGGGGGCTGGGAACAAGAGGCGGTCTTGCTGGAGAAGGAGGAGGTAGTGAAGGGGGATGCAGGACCACCTGGCAGGTCACACTGGACAGTGAAGGACGACCCAGCCTCCTTTGAAGGAGCGTGTTAACACTAGTGACGACCATAATTTCTTTCACTTTTTAATACTTGTGGAAACTCCCCAGCCTCTGCCAAGCGCTCGCAGGCCAGGCCATGTGAGGAGAGTTTACTGAGCTTACTGACCTATGTGGCCGAGCAGGGGGTGGGTGGAGGTACTCAGGTAGGATGGGGAGCAGCATCCAGGGTGACCTATTAATCCATCCTGAGCCGTGTTGTACCCCATGCAACTTCTTCAACAGAGGAGACTATCTGATTTTTCCCAGGCCCAGTGAGGAGCAAGGGTTTGGCAAGACGACAGGGCCAGGGGTGGATTGTCTTCCTTGCCTGTCTGCAGGATTCTCAGAGCAGTGGGAGCCTGCCTCCCTACCCCACCCCCACATTCAGCACTGGGAAGGGAGGCAAACCCAAGCCGTGAACGCTGGGGCTCTGTGTGGCAGCAGGTCTGCCGCACCTGAAGGAAAGGCTTTGCTTTACCCTGGAACCACCCGTGGTAGCTTCTCAGACCTCTACAACTGGCTTCATCCTCCTTATCTAAGCTGACTAGAGAACCACACTTAATTATTAAGTTGAAAAAACACAATGTAGTACAAAAACCAAGCCTCACCTCTTGCTGGGCTCCACACTGCCCACATTGGAGGACACACCTTCCTTTCTGCCGTTCATCTCTGCTGCCCCTCCCCGCTGCCTTTGGCCACACCGCACCACCTCCCTAGAGCACCCCTTCTTCCCTGCCTTCCCCCTGGGTGGGACTCTGACCCATTGACAAGGCCCTGGGAAGGGGTTTCCACATGTGGCAGGCAGCCTGTCCAGGCTCCCAACTCCTCCCCTTCAAAATGCTTGCCTTCGTCTCCCCAAACCCCTTGCCAGGCTGCCTGATGGGAAATGTTGTATGAACACCCTGGTTGCCACCGGCCCAGGCTCCCTCGAGTTGAGCTGAGCCATGGCTGGGATCTGAGTCGTAGGTGAGGTCCCTACACTGACGGGCTCTCTTGGCAGATCTCCAGCGCCATGGAGCATCTTCAGGAGGCCTTGACGGTGTGCAGAGATGATGCCAACGCCCTCCACTTGCTAGTACTGCTCTTCTCTGCCCAGAAGCATTACCAGCATGCCCTGGATGTCATCAACATGGCCATCACCGAGTACCCTGAGAATTTCAAGTGAGTCTCCTGGGTTCACTGCTGGGGGGAGGGCTGGCTTGGTTATTACATAGTTGCCTGGGCACACCTCAGTTTGGCATATTTTAGCCAGTACACGGAGAATAAGTGCCCATTGCTTAGACACTTCCTGGGTAGAGGGACAAGGTGGTATAGGAATGACAAGGGGCTGTGGCAGTATGCACAGGATGCTTGGTGGGGATTAATGAGCCCATAGTGCTCCTGGCCCCCCCCTTAGAGGCTGTGGGCCCAGAGGGGAGAAACTGCTGGATTGTATAAATGCAATGCTTCTCACTCAGCCCTCCAGTGCAGAGGGTACCACTTGGTAAGGCATGAGACGTAATCATGGCCCTGACACTGCTCGCCAAGGATGAAATTCTAAAACTAACTGGGAGGACAAAGGAGCCATCCTAACTGCATCCTTTACTGGAAGCTGGGGAAATCATTATCTTCCTCCAGGGTGGCCCTGACCCTGCATGTTTACTACACTAGTCACGTGCCCTGCGGGGTTCTTAGAGCAGGGTTCACATGCACTGGGACAGGGCAGCAGCTGCAGGTGGAGCAGGAGTCGGTCTCCTTCCCCTACCCACCACGGAGGACCTATTGCCATCAGACCAGGACATCAGACCTAGCCAAGGCAAAAGCTGAATCATGGCTCTGTGAAGGGATCCAGGGGGAGGTCATGATTTGATGACTCCTGCTTCTCCTTGCCCCGACTGTCTGCTGTCTGAAGTCTAAACCACCCCAGCTTGGTGGATCCTATCTGGTCCTCCCATACATACCGCACTGTCCCGCCCCAGTGGGTCCCAGCTGTTCACACACAGCCAGGTATAAGTAAAGTGTGTGTCCACTTTGGTAATCCATCCATGTACTGAGGAATAGCCCTGATTCTGAGCCTTGCTCCAGCCTTGGAGAAGTGATTATTCATTTTATAAGACACACCGTTCAGGAATTATAAAACACAGATAAATCAGGTGTGGACAGTAGGAATCCCAAGTATAATGCAGCAGGACCAGGTGGTAGTGTTTTTATTTTATTTATTTTTAATTTTAAAAAGTGACATTTATATGGGGTGGTACACACATGCAGTGGCACCTGTGTGGAGGTCAGAGGATAACTTGAGGTCGTTAGTTCTCACCTTGTATCTTGTGAGTCCTGGGGATAGAACTCGGGTCTGCAGGCTTGGCGGCGAGTACCTTCACCCACTCAGACGTCTTCCCAGCCTTATGACTTTTGTACGTAGTAAAAATCCAGAAAAGAGGAGGCCTGTCCTCTTCACAGTGTTACCTTGCTTTTTCCAAGCTCCATCCTTACGGGCCTGGCAGGTCCTGACTGGCTGCTGCTGGCACGTGTGCCATTGTGTGTGTTCTCTACATGCTTGCACGTCTCTGTGTGTGCCTGTGCGTGCCTGTGTATTTACTCTATCCGTTGGGCTAAGTGGGAAAAGAAATGCTCAAAGAAAAAAAAAGCTTGGAGCCCCAGGGTTGGAAGAGAAGGAACCCCCCGCCCACTGCCAGGGCTGGGCACTGAAGAGAAAAGGTGCCACAAGGGCCATTGTGCTAAAAGTTGTTTTAGCCCCAACTCCTTTCCAAATGAGCTCTTCCATGGAAACCCAGACGTGGAACAGGGAGGAGCAGGGCTACTCCTTTCCACTCCTGGGTCTCCCACTTTGCTCCTCAACATCTCTTCACGGCTTCACAGCTCTGGCCTTCTAGCCCCGTGCACCTCCCTGACCTGCTGTGGAAGGCTAATGCCCTTGCTGAAAGTCTAATTGAACCCCAAGCAGTGTGAGGTGTACTGGGGTATTGTGAGAGCTATTCCTTTGCTTCCCTGGACCACCCCAGGAAGATGCTTCCTCCCAGTGGCTTTCTTCCCGCCTTCCTGTTCCCAGTGGCTTCCTCCCCATCTTCCTGCTCTGAGGATGCTTGGGCAGCCCCCTCCCTCCCATGTGATGTGAGTGAGCCCCACTGCTCTATGAGGCCGCACTCTCCACACCTTCCTTTGCCCTCACCTAGGTGTGCCCTGTTCCCCTGAGTGTCCTTACAGCAGGACAGAGAGGTTTTGAGCTCACACCACATCTACCCTCACCCCTTCAGCCCTATGGGTGTACATGAATGAGAACTTTTCCTACTTGCAGGCAGGGAGCTAGCTTTCTGCAGGTTCTTAGATGGGCCAAGACCCCAGAGAGGTAGTGGGGTGTAGACTGTGCTGTTTGCCATCATGCAGCCTCACTGTGCCCACTCCCTGGTGCTTCTTCCAAGCCCTGTGCACATGTTTGTGTGGAGCAGCCTGGAAAATAGTCTCTGCTTCTGCAGGCAGAGCCTTAAGGGGGCAGCCTATGCCGTGGGAACTGCTCTCCTTCAGAGACATCACACTGCTTCGAGGGACAGCGGGAACTCTAGGGTGTGAGACCCTGCACGTTTATTCCTTGTCCTACAGAGTGTTCTGCAGAGTAGCGGGGAATGAGTGTATTCTACCCTGAAGAGAAGCCCCCACACACACACTCAGTCTGCTCAGTTAGGAAGGGTCAGATGAGGTGGAGAAGTCATTCTTTATCATGAGCCCCTCAGTTCCCAGACTCGGGAGCTCTGCTTTGATCTGATCTGGCCCTAGAAGGCTACAAAACTAACCAGAAGAGGAATTCATGGGATTCAGGCCACGGGAGTGTGAGAAAATAAATCTGTATTATAGAAAAAAAATTATGCATATACATCCCCAGTTCTATTGAGTGACTATGTCCCTTTGCAAATAAGTCAATACTATTCCCCACAGATGAAACCCTGGAGTACAAAAACCCATGGATTAGCAGGAAATGTCATTGAGTCCATTACGGGTCAGGGATCACTGAAAAATGTCATTGCTCTTCGATTGACTGTGCGTCCTGCTTCTCCAGCTGCTCTCTGAGCTGGGAACAAGCCATGTGTGGCTCCAGCTGTTGCTAGCAGTTAATTAAACAACCAGTCCAGTAAATATCACTCAGCAAAACAGCAGACCGTACCTCCTTGGCCTGACCTCATTGTCCTGATCGAAGTCTATTCTTAGGGGATACTTAAGGCCCATGATATAGGTTGTCTCCCACCGAGCAACTTACAGCCATTATCCTGGTGGCCAGGCCTTCTAGAGGCTTATCCTGTCTGCAAAGTCATCAGTGTTGCAGACTCAAGAACTGTCCCCCAGGGGAAGAAAGCCAGGAGGTCTGTGTGGGGGTACCGGCTTTGCCACTGCTTGGGAGTGGACCCCCATCTTATAAGTTTATCCCAGTATGAGATCCAGTTAGGTCACGGCCCTGGAATTACTTCTGTTACTTACCCATGCCAACCACAGCAACTTGTACCTCCTTAAAAAAAAAAAAAATCTACCCCGCCTCCTCTGCTTCTGAAGTGTACTGTGAGACACACTAAAGAAGGTCATGGGCTGATGGACAACTGTCTCTAAGGTCGGAGTGTGGAGGGAATGCCACAAGCAGTCTCATTGACACCTGGAACTGAATGTGTGCAGTGAGCCAGGAGCTGAAGGAAGGGGATACGGGTGAGGCTGAGCCAAGTAGTGACGCAGCTCTGGGGACCAAGGCAAAGCTTTATGGAGAGGTCACTGTTCCCCCACGGGCACCAGGCACCATGTAGGCACACAGAGCAGAACCCAGCTTTTGTGGAGAGATCACTGATCCCACACAGGCACCGTCTAGGCGTGCAGAATAGAATCCAGCTTTTGTGGAGTCCGTTGTAGAGAGATCGCTGATCCCACACAGGCACCATCTAGGCATGCGAAGCAGAACCCAGCTTTTGTTGGAGTCCATTGTAGGGATCGCTGTTCCCACACAGGCTCCAGGCACCATCTAGGCCCACAAACCCAGTCTTCATGGAGTCTAGCTTCTGAAAACCCTTCTGACTCAGAGATTAGGAAGCAAAATGGAGGGGCCCTTGAGTTCCATGCTGTAGGATGGCCTTTGGGTAGTGCGGCTCAGGTTTAAAAAGGGAGAAACGTGATAAAGCAGAGACGATGCCTCCTTGGGGACAGTGTGAACCTGGTATGATGGGAACCAGATACCCCTAGCAGCTTCCTGAAATCCCATGGGCTTCCGACTAAGCCCGAGACACATGTGCCAGCTGGCCAGGAGGCCCAAGGCCAGGAGGACCACAGGCTTCCTGTGGGGAATGTGAGAATTTGGATCAGGTCCAGAGTTGTCTTTGCTGGTCCTTCCTTCTCATGGAAGAGGCAGCTGGGGAGCCTGACCAGGAGGGACAGGGATACGGGCCGGAGAGGAATGGATCGCTGAAGAGCATACTTCCTTGAAGCCATGAGCCCTGTCAGGCGATGGTTTTAGGTAACACATTCCTTCAGCTTTAGTCAGGCCCTTGTAGTGAAGGTCACCATAGAAACCAAACAAAGTTCCTAGGCTGATGATGGGAGCTTTCCAATAACGAAGCTGTCAGTCATGTCCCCTGCCCAGCCCTGGCAGCCTGCCAGGCTGACTTTGAGGGCCCAGGGCATACCAAAAGTGACTCGGGAGTAAATGTGTTCTCTCCCCTGCTCCACAGTGGGCAGGGCTACCCACCCTTATCCGCCAGAATAGCCATTCCTGAGAGCCCCTGCTGGCCCAGCCCCTAGTCCCAGGAGACTTGGGAAGTCCTGAGGGAAGGTGTGTTGGAGCCCCAGAGGCACTTGCCAGGGTAGGAACCATATAGCCCTCTCTACAAGCTCCTGCTCGCCCCAGATAAACAAATGCAGTACTGCAGCCATCTGCCCCGGGAAACCAGGGCTGTTTTGGAAAATGTTTGAGGTGAAATAACTAGGTATTAACTGGGGCCAGACTGTAGCTAGATCCAGTGGAGGCTAAAGTTGAACCTCCAGGGCATTTCCCTGAGCCACCTGGCCCCCTTCCCCTATTTTTCAGGTTGCGTGTGACATATTTCTGGAGGTGCAATCCACCAAGCAGAAGGGATCCAGAGTCCTGGGACTCCTGCTAGCATTTCTGCCTTAAACCCAGTGTGTTTATTTGATTG